ATGGTTGTGGGTTCAAATCCTGGGTGGGAATTTTTGGATTTTAAAATTTTATTTCTTTTTGGGTAAAAATTAAAACTTTAAAGTTAATTTTGTAACCACTTAATCGTGTGAAATTGTGCTTAGTCTATTGGTTCAGACTGCTGATTCTTAATATGAAGGTTGTGGGCTCTAATCCAGGGTGGGAATTTAGATTTTAAAATTTTATTTCTTTTTGGGTAAATTGAACATTTATAGTTAATTTTGTTACCACTTCAAGGTGTGTATTTATGCTAATTCCAATGGTACGGACTGTTGACTCTAAATCTGAAGGTGCGGGTTCAAATCCAGGGTGGGAATTTTAGATTTTAAATTTTTTTGTTCTTTTGGGGTAAATTGAAACTTTATAGTTTATTTTATAACCACTAAAATAGTGTGAAATTATGCTTAGTCCAATGGTATGGACTGCTGACTCTAAATCTGAAGGTTGCGTGTTCAAATCCAGGTTGGGAATTTTAGATTTTTAAAAGTTATTTCTTTTTGGATAAATTGAAACTTTATAGTTAATTTTGTAACCACTAAAAAGTTTGAAATGATGCATAATCCAATGGTTCAGACTGCTGACTCTAAATCTGAAGGTTGTGGGTTCAAATCCAGGGTGTGAATTTAGATTTTAAAATTGTATTTGTTTGGGGGTAAATTGAAACTTTATAGTTAATTTCGTATCCATTAAATTGTATAAAATTGTGCTTAGTCCAGTGGTTCAGACTGCTGACTCTAAATCTGAAGATTGTGGGTTCAAATCCAGGGTGGGAATTTTAGAGTTTAAAAGTTTATTTCTTTTTGGGAAAATTAAAACTTTATAGTTAATTTTGTAACCACTAAAAAGTGTGAAATTATGCTTAGTCCAATGGTACGGACTGCTGACTCTCAATCTGATGGTTGGGGGTTCAAATCCAGGTTGGGAATTTTAGATTTTAAAAGTTTATTTCTTTTTGGGTAAATTGAAACTTTATAGTTAATTTTGAAACCACTAAAAAGTGTGAAATGATGCTTAGTCCAATGGTATGGACTGCTGACTCTAAATCTGATGGTTGTTTGTTTCAAATCCTGGGTGGAATTTAAGATTTTAAAATTTTATTTCTTTTTGGGTAAATTAAAACTTTAAAGTTAATTTCGTACCCACTTAAATCGTGTGAAATTGTGCTTAGTCCATTGGTTCAGACTGCTGACTCTAACTCTGAAGGTTGTGGGTTCAAATCCAGGGTGGGAATTTAGATTTTAAAATTGTATTTGTTTTGGGATAAATTGGAACTTTATAGTTTATTTTATAACCACTAAAAAGTGGGAAATTATGCTTAGTCTAATGGTATGGACTGCTGACTCTTAATCTGAAGGTTGCGGGTTCAAATCCAGGTTGGGAATTTTAGATTTTTAAAAGTTATTTCTTTTTGGATAAATTGAAACTTTATAGTTAATTTTGTAACCACTAAAAAGTGTGAAATGATGCATAGTCCAATGGTTCAGACTGCTGACTCTAAATCTGAAGGTTGTGGGTTCAAATCCAGGGTGTGAATTTAGATTTTAAAATTGTATTTGTTTTGGGGTAAATTGAAACTTTATAGTTAATTTCGTATCCATTAAATTGTGTAAAATTGTGCTTAGTCCAGTGGTTCAGACTGCTGACTCTAAATCTGAAGATTGTGGGTTCAAATCCAGGGTGGGAATTTTAGAGTTTAAAAGTTTATTTCTTTTTGGGAAAATTGAAACTTTATAGTTAATTTTGTAAACACTTAAAAGTGTGAAATTATGCTAAGTCCAATGGTACGGACTGCTGACTCTCAATCTGATGGTTGTGGGTTCAAATCCAGGTTGGGAATTTTAGATTTTAAAAGTTTATTTCTTTTTGGTAAATTGAAACTTTATAGTTAATTTTGTAACCACTATAAAGTGTGAAATTATGCTTAGTCCAATGGTACGGACTGCTGACTCTCAATCTGATGGTTGGGGGTTCAAATCCAGGTTGGGAATTTTAGATTTTAAAAGTTTATTTCTTTTTGGGTAAATTGAAACTTTATAGTTAATTTTGAAACCACTAAAAAGTGTGAAATGATGCTTAGTCCAATGGTATGGACTGCTGACTCTAAATCTGATGGTTGTTTGTTTCAAATCCTGGGTGGAATTTAAGATTTTAAAATTTTATTTCTTTTTGGGTAAATTAAAACTTTAAAGTTAATTTTGTACCCACTTAAATCGTGTGAAATTGTGCTTAGTCCATTGGTTCAGACTGCTGACTCTAACTCTGAAGGTTGTGGGTTCAAATCCAGGGTGTGAATTTAGATTTTAAAATTGTATTTGTTTTGGGGTAAATTGAAACTTTATAGTTAATTTCGTATCCATTAAATTGTGTAAAATTGTGCTTAGTCCAGTGGTTCAGACTGCTGACTCTAAATCTGAAGATTGTGGGTTCAAATCCAGGGTGGGAATTTTAGAGTTTAAAAGTTTATTTCTTTTTGGGAAAATTGAAACTTTATAGTTAATTTTGTAAACACTAAAAAGTGTGAAATGATGCTAAGTCCAATGGTACGGACTGCTGACTCTCAATCTGATGGTTGTGGGTTCAAATCCAGGTTGGGAATTTTAGATTTTAAAAGTTTATTTCTTTTTGGTAAATTGAAACTTTATAGTTAATTTTGTAACCACTATAAAGTGTGAAATGATGCTAAGTCCAATGGTATGGACTGCTGACTCTAAATCTGAAGGTTGTGGGTTCAAATCCTGGGTGGGAATTTTAGATTTTAAAATTTTATTTCTTTTTGGGTAAAAATTAAAACTTTAAAGTTAATTTTGTAACCACTTAATCGTGTGAAATTGTGCTTAGTCTATTGATTCAGACTGCTGATTCTTAATATGAAGGTTGTGGGTTCTAATCCAGGGTGGGAATTTAGATTTTAAAATTTTATTTCTTTTTGGGTAAATTGAAAATTTATAGTTAATTTTGTTACCACTTCAAGGTGTGTATTTATGCTAATTCCAATGGTACGGACTGTTGACTCTAAATCAGAAGGTGCGGGTTCAAATCCAGGGTGGGAATTTTAGATTTTAAAATTTTTAGTTCTTTTGGGGTAAATTGAAACTTTATAGTTTATTTTATAACCACTAAAAAGTGTGAAATTATGCTTAGTCCAATGGTATGGACTGCTGACTCTAAATCTGAAGGTTGCGTGTTCAAATCCAGGTTGGGAATTTTAGATTTTTAAAAGTTATTTCTTTTTGGATAAATTGAAACTTTATAGTTAATTTTTAACCACTAAAAAGTGTGAAATGATGCATAGTCCAATGGTTCAGACTGCTGACTCTAAATCTGAAGGTTGTGGGTTCAAATCCAGGGTGTGAATTTAGATTTTAAAATTGTATTTGTTTTGGGGTAAATTGAAACTTTATAGTTAATTTCGTATCCATTAAATTGTGTAAAATTGTGCTTAGTCCAGTGGTTCAGACTGCTGACTCTAAAACTGAAGATTGTGGGTTCAAATCCAGGGTGGGAATTTTAGAGTTTAAAGGTTTATTTCTTTTTGGTAAAATTAAAACTTTATAGTTAATTTTGTAACCACTAAAAAGTGTAAAATTATGCTTAGTCCAATGGTACGGACTGCTGACTCTCAATCTGACGGTTGGGGGTTCAAATCCAGGTTGGGAATTTTAGATTTTAAAAGTTTATTTCTTTTTGGGTAAATTGAAACTTTATTGTTAATTTTGTAACCACTAAAAAGTGTGAAATGATGCTTAGTTCAATGGTATGGACTGCTGACTCTAAATCTGATGGTTGTTTGTTTCAATTCCTGGGTGGGAATTTTAGATTTTAAAATTTTATTTCTTTTTGGGTAAATTAAAACTTTAAAGTTAATTTCGTACCCACTTAAATCATGTGAAATTGTGCTTAGTCCATTGGTTCAGACTGCTGACTCTAAATCTGAAAGTTGTGGGTTCAAATCCAGGGTGGGAATTTAGATTTTAAAATTGTATTTGTTTTGGGATAAATTGGAACTTCATAGTTAATTTCGTACCCTTTAAAGAGTGTAAAATTGTGCTTAGTCCAGTGGTTCAGACTGCTGACTCTAAATCTGAAGGTTGTAGGTTCAAATCCAGGTTGGGAAATTAAGGTTTTTAAAAGTTTGTTTCTTTTGGGGTTAATTGAAAATTTATAGTTAATTTCGTAACCACTAAAAAGTGTGAAGTTACGCTTAGTCCAATGGAATGTGCTGCTGACTCTAAATCTAAAGGTTGCGGGTTCAAATCCAGAGGGGTTGGGGGGACTTTAGATTTTCAAATTTTATTTCTTTTTGGATAAATTGAAACTTTATAGTTAATTTCGTACCCACTAAATAGTGTGAAATTGTACTTAGTCCATAGGAACAGACTGCTGATTTTAAAGCTGAAGGTTGCATGTTCGATGCTGGGGGGGGGGGGGTGTTTAGTTTTTCAAATTTTATTTCTTTTTGGGTAAATTGAAACTTTATAGTTTATTTTATAACCACTAAAAAGTGTGAAGTTATTCTTAGTCCAATGGTACGGACTGCTGACTCTCAATCTGAAGGTTGTGGGTTCAAATCCGGGTTGGGAACTTTAGATTTTAAAAGTTTATTTCTTTTGGGGTAAATTGAAAATTTATAGTTAATTTCGTAACCACTAAAAAGTGTGAAATTGGGCTTAGTCCAATGGTATTTGGATACATACATTACTCAGACAGCTGTTGACAATTTTTGGAATACATATACCAACCAAAAATTAATTTAATACTAATTTAACAAAATAATTGATTGCGAGAAATAATTAACTATTATAATAATAATCTGAAATTGTTATTAAAGTCGTGTAGATACTTCATTGGAAAAAAATATACCCGAAAAAAAGTATAACATTTGTTTGTTTTTCTTTATTTATTTGTGTTTTTCCAGCTCAATGAATTTCCCAGATTGGGAGAATGATTTGTCAGCATTTTCCTTGAGTTCAAGACTTTTGTCAGGATTTTCCTGAGTTCAAGATTTAATAAAAGCAGAGTTTGCTGGGGATTGTAGTTGAATACCAGACGTTTTGAACGGGATGCCGCTAATTGCCGTGACTTATCTGGTGGTACAAGCCAAAGTTCAACTTCGACTGAGTGCTGGCATGCCCATACACATAATCCGAATAACGCCCTCTGTTGTATTAAATGCATTACATCAGGGTATTCCCCTTGTACTTGTGGAGTCCAGGCAACCTTACAAGATTCATCAGGTGAGTTTCTGCAAAACAAATATTTTGAGTCATGAACCTTGTGAGACATATAGATTTTAATAATTTCTATCCATCAGCATGGAAGTTTAAGAGGAGTTTTAAATCGATAACAATAGTCAGTAATGAAAAAATACCCCACAAATTAAAACTAGTCACACTTGTCAATTTGTTTTTATTGTAAATTTGTATTCACCATGGCATGTTCTCATTTATAATGTTGTTATGATTGTACCGGTACTTCGTTTGTTCTTATTCCTCCATGGTTCGTACTCCCTCCCCTCAAAAAAGAAGGTTGAAGGTAGGGCTTTATTTTTTCGTAGTGGCTATCGTTATAAGGCCTGTATCAAACGTCCTGCTTCTGCTGTGTAAAACTCAATTAAATACTGATAAAGCTTTCTATTAAATACGGCAGTAGGCCTAGCACGATGTTTGACACCCAACTTTTCTTATTAAGTTTGACTCTGCCGTGTAGCACGACAGGTTATCTGTCGTGCTACACGGCAGTTACACAGCATGGTGTCAAACATGCCCTTGCCGCGTCGAATCAAATGAATTCCAACCTGGGCTAGGCGATTTTGGAATGCGCATGCGTTGTCACAGATGAGGAAACATTTCCAAACAAATTGTCACCGACACCACGAACTGACACCCTCTGCATTAGCCCCATAAATGTGGCCTATTTACTGGACTGCCTCTGTAAACATAGGCCACACATCCACATGTACAAAAATCGTGTCGACTTTGCCAAATTTTGATTTTCACATTTAGGCTTAGTTTGTAGGTTTTTTTTGCTTTAGAAGCATACTCACCCTCTTTATAGGCTAATCAGAAAGTGCTGCCTTTTTCAGATGTCTAATTTTTGTGAAATTTCATGTTGAAATTTTGATACGCAAACGTGTAAAAATGAATCTGGAAATTTCACGAAAAATATACATCTGAAAATGGCAGCACTTTCTGATTAGCCTATAAAGAGGGTGAGTATGCTTCTAAAGCAAAAAAACCCTACAAACTAAGCCTAAGTGTGAAAATCAAAATTTGGCAAAGTCGACACGATTTTTGTACATGTGGATGTGTGGCCTATGTTTACGGAGGCAGTCCAGTAAATAGGCCACATTTATGGGGCTACCTCTGCATCACATGTGTACAAAAAAAATTAAAAATTCAAATTTTCTTTTTTAGCAGATTGTATCTTGAAGTTTAAAGGGAAAATACAACATTTGCAAACATCAAAAAATAAAACTACCAAATCATTTTAAAATACCTTGCTGGACTGTTAGTGAATGACAGTGTAAAGCATCCTGTAAAATCATGGCACCTGGTATACTGTCATTTTCAAGAAAAGTGCTATTTTTGTATCAATTTCCAACGCTGATCGGCCGATCAGCGTTGGAAAAAACTGGCTTTTTTTCAAATACTGGCCCCAATTGACCATCGCACTTGTTTGCAATCGATTACACACACTATGAACGGGTACAAGCCAGCTAGACTGGTTCCCTGATCTTACAATTCCCCAATGTATGTAAACTGCTCTGTTTCTTCTTCAATGGAGTCAGGGAACCAGACTACAGGAAAATGATTGTTTTTCTTGGTTTTTATAGCATTTTTGAACCCAAAACCTCAAAAAAGTCAGTGTAACTATATTTGCTATATATTACCAGCCCCCTAATTCCATCCATTTCTGAAAATTACAGCAAAAGCAAATGATGTATATTCCCTTTAACATGGCGAAGTGAAAATTGCTAAAATCATCTAAAATAAGCAAATTTTAATAATGAATTTTCAAGAAATTGGTCAATTCTTGTGTTTTTTGTTACCACGAAGTGACTCTGCACAGGGTGTCAGTTCGTGAAAACCAAAATTTGCGTGTTTTCGGAGAGTGTGCGCATGCAATAGCGTTAGAGAGTGTCAGTTCGTGAAAACGAAAATTGACGTGTTTTTGGAGAGTGCGCGCACACACTGCGCATGCGTGCGCGCACTCTCCAAAAGCACGTCAATTGTCGTTTTCACGAACTGACACTCTAACGCTATTGCATGGGCGCACTCTCCCAAAACACATAAATTTTCGTTTTCACGAACTGACACCCATGTTAATCATCTAATTGCTAATTAACTAAGCATATTTTCACCATTTAACATTTATAATTGAGTAGTTAAAGCATTTTCACGTTAAGTGATACTAAAACCTCTAAGATAGATGGATTATTTTACTGAGTAAATTCTTGTCAAACCTTTAAAGCGTTTTTCTCCGATTTGTATTTCTGCAAGTCTGACCACAGGGTGTCAGTTCGTGGTGTCGTTGACGAAATGGACAACACAGAAACAATCCAAAATGGCCGTGAGACAGCAAAAAGCATATGACATGCATGGTGTAAACATGTTTGACAGTATAGAGAGTCGAGAAAGGGATAAAAGAAGTGAAAGAAGAATACACAATGTGACTGATCTCCTAAATAAACTGTGTATGAAGAATGTCTGCAGCATGAGTCTCCTCTTTCCGGCGCAGCTTTGATAGTGTTAAAAGTTAAAAGTCGTAAAGTTAAGTCTTCCTGTCTCTGCCATTTTGCCTGGTAATTAAATGCGACTGTTCTGTGATTTCAATTCGTCGTTTGACACCAGTCTAAAATTCTGCCGCGCTTTTGCTGCACGAAAATGAATTGCATTCAACATGGCAGAAGCATGACGTTTCACGCAGGCCTATAAGGCAGCTGTGGTACGATTATAAATTGCAATCATTACGGTATTGCAAAAACACTATTGCGAATTAGTCTGAGTAACCAGGTCCGGGACCTGCCCTATATCTAGCGATGTCGCTAGATTGTGCAACGGTCACTCGATCTAGCGATGATGACGTCAATTACGTCATGAATGATGGCGATGACGTCATTTTTTCGTTATGTTTTTTACAGCTCCGTGCATGAAGTTAGCGAGTCCAGCCCACCAAAAACCTTGTGCAAAAAATTGAAGCTTTTGCTAAACTTATGGTATTGTAGCGTTTGACCAATGGGTTCTAAATGACGAATGTGATATTCCTAGGAGTTTGCTGACAGAGTACTATAACACAATGACAGACTAAACAACACGTTGACGTGGACGAAAGAAATGTGACCAGGAGACAGTGCCTCAGTTCTTAACTTTTAATCCTCAACAAATTAATTGCTGATTATTTACACACTGATTCACCTTAATTCAAGCAGAGTAGCTGTTCGTAAAGGCAGATTCGGGCTCGAGTCTTTTTTGGAAGTTTCACAGTGCACAACCCTTCAGCTCCAAGCTAGCACAACAACCACCTTTTTCGGGCGCGCAGTTAACCAACTTTAATATTACATTATCCTGCGCTGCTAATCTGCGCATGCGCGCCCGGCCCTACTTTCCGGACGGACAGGGCCACATGTGATAATCGCTACATCACCCCTTTCTATTTCAAAAAGAATGCGTCCTGCATTCAGTTAAAAGAAACAAACAACATGTAGAAAAGCTAAGGTCTCCACAGGCATCACTCTCCCAGGACATATTCAGTAGTGGTCTTCATTACAAGGCTGCCTTCGTTGAACATTTCTACAATCTGACGGACTTCCCAGGAATCAGCCGGCCCTTCCGAGACGGTCTCCGTGGTGACCTGGCGTAAGGTTGTTACCCGTGTAACGTGGCTTGACTTGCTTGGTGACGTAACTCCCAAGTGCATCTCGTCGGCTGTCGGATGCAGGTCCATCGTTGGAGACGTTTTCAGGATCTCTGGGGTTTTGGGCACTTCGTTGGTCACACCAGCTCATTCCGGGGTTTATAGGTCTCGCTGTTTGTTGTGGGTCATTTCTTCCTGCATTTGTGTTGCATGGTGCGTCTTCAAGTGTCTTCCTAAGTCACTCCGTTGGGAATAGCTACTACCATTGCAGAATGGACACTCGTATCTGGTTTTTATGCCATGTTGCTCCAACACGTGACGGTTGAGGGCTGAATATGCTCTGAAGGTCTGACTGCATTCTGTGCACTGGAGGTCTGATGTTGGGCTTGAGGCCTCCTCAGTGACCTGTCTCTGGACGACCTTTGGCGCGAGTGGTGTCTTTTTGGCATCTGCAGGATGATAAGACCAAAAAGAATGGGACAATAAGTAATTTGTTTATGGTTAATGGGCTCGTTTATGGTTTTGGTTGACCCACTCCCCGTAGCATTTTGGTGGCATCCGCTTCCTCCGGCTCGGGCATTCTGGCTGCCAAGTGGCACCCAGGCTTTTATCAGGCTGTTTGACTTCGCGCTGCTCCTGCTTGTTCCCAGCTAATTTCTTGGCCTGCGACTGTTAAGCTTCTTCACTGTTGGTGCCTTTGCTGCCGCTCTTTTCTGTACAGCTTGGCTGTTTTGGTGTTCCTGCACTGTATCCCTCTGAGCTCCCTTGCTGCAGATGCTCTTCAGTAGCAGACGTGTTGACTAGGATCTCTTTGCTGCCGCTCTTTTCTGTACAGCTTGGCTGTTTTGGTGTCCCTGTACCGGATCCAAATGAGTTCCCTGACTGCAGATGCTCTTTAGTAGCAGACGTGTTGACTGGGCTCTGAACTCCTTTGGGGCCACTGTTTCCACAAGTTAGCCTGCCTTCCCACCACGACTTGTCATACTCTCCTCCAAATCTCTTCAGGCAGTCTATGTGTACAATCTTTTGTTTGTGCTGTGGTCCTTTCTGGCAAGGGCGGATCCAGGGGGGGGGGCCAAAGGGGGCCATGGCCCCCCCCAAAACGAAACCAATTTTTTTTTTTTTTTATGTGACATCGCAATAAAGGCAGGCAATGAGTACACAACCATCTTTTCCTCAAAAAAACATTGGTTAAAGTGGTCAGAAATTGCCTCAGATCGCACCACAGAGCATCTAGAATCCAACAATTTTTCGGGGCCCTTAAGCGGGCCCCGAACCCCACGCCGTAATTTTTTGACCCACTTTTTTGGGGGACCAAATTTTTTTTTGGCCCCTCCCAAAATTGTGTTCTGGATCCGCCCTTGCTTTCTGGATACGTACATTTACGTCATTGATGCATTCAGTCACAATGTAGGGCCCATCCCATCTCGATTGGAGTTTAGGGGACAGTCCAACAGTTCTGGCCTCTACAGCCAGCATCACGGTGGTCCCAGGAGTAAGCTGCTTCTGTTGGTGTGTCATAATTTCGTTTTTGATGCTGGCAGCTTTGTGCAGATGCACCCTTGCCCTCTCATGGGCATCATGGAGATTTGGAGTTTTGCCAGTGCTGCCGTGTTGTGAAGCAATATAAGCCATCATTACCAGGGGTATGTGGAGGTCCCAATCTCTTCTGTCCATTTTGTAAAGTAGTCCGTAATAACAAGAATTCACTAGTTCTCTCAATTGAGCCACGCTGCAGCATGTCCCGGAGACTTGCCGGGAGCCTATCTATTTGCAGCATTTTGGTTTGGTGTGGCCCAAGTCTCCGCACTTGAAAATCCTCTTCTGTCTTTGATTGAACAACTCTGTTGTGTTTAATAGGACCTGGATGTGTTGCACTATTGGTTCCAGTTGGTTTTCTAATTTTGCGATTTTGTTACCAGGAACTGGGTTCATCTTTGCCGCCATGGCGCTTTCCACATCGCCTTCAACAACTCTGACCCATATGGTTCTTTTTTCCTTTTCTGCGGTCATGATGGCCTGAAACTCAATAGCAGCGGTTACCGCTTCTTCCAGACAGCCTTGTCGCATTTGTAGGATTCACATGCGTGTTTCGCTGTCTGTAAGTGCATCCAAGAAAAAGTCCCTCGCCATTGTTGTCTGCTCGGCAGCTGGAAGTTCACTGAATTTCTTGTCCACCAGCAGATGGACATCCTGAGCTAGCTCTGAAAGGGACTCTCTGCTTTTCTGACGCCTATTCTTCAGCTGAATTCTGTGGAACTGTTTACGTCCATCCGGCTCAAATCTCGCTTTTAAACCATCAACCAGGCTTTGGTATGTGGTTCCGTCCCTTGGCATGCCCTGGAGCACTTTTTGAGCTGCACCTTTGAGGGAGACGGCCAGAAACTCTGTCCTCTCTCGTTCTTCCCATTTATTAATGTTTGCACACATCTTAAAGTGCCTCCGGTATGCCGACCAAGACGTTTCTCGTCGTAGCGATCTGGGCGCATGACTGGTCACTCTCGTACAAATCTTTGCTGCAGAGTTGCCTGATTGGATGCATGGAGGGTTGGCGCAGGGAGTCCACAGTTCTTGTAGGTGGTGTTCGGAGGCAAGTTCGCCGGTGCACCGACTGGTAAACCAACCGGTATGCCGGCTCTCCATGCAGTGGCAGTCGGTGCACCGAGCACTGGTGCACCAAGGGATGCGTCCGGATTCTGAGCTGTCCATATTTGTTTACTTTGAGCACAAGTCCTGCACCATGCGTGGCCATGGGTGCACTGGTATACTGCATCTGTTGTGCTGTAAAGGACTCTGGCAAATGCTCCCAGTGCCCCGGTACCGATGGTTGTATATAGACTGTGTTTCCTGAACCCATCGTGGCCATCGGTGCCCCGGTCGGTGCACCGATTTACGGCGTCTGTTGCTGTACTGCCATTAACAAGTTTGGATCAATCTCCTTGTGCCCCGGTGCGGACTGTTGGAGCCACTTTGTTTTTCCACACCCTGCGAAGCCATCGGTGCCCCGGTGGGTGCACTAATATACGGCATCTGTTGCTGTGTTGTCATTAACCACTTTGGTGAAGTCTTCTTGCGTCCCGACGATTGTAGCCGTCTCATGTTGCCCGCACCCTGCATTGCCATCAGTGCCCGGGTCGGTGCACTGATATGGCCTATGTTGCTGTACTGCCATTGACCACTTTGAATCAATCATCTTGTGCCCCGGTGCCGACGGTTAAAGCCGCTCTGTGTTTCCCGCACACTGCTTTGCCATCGGTGCTCCGGTTGCTGCACCGATATACGGCATATGTTGTACCGCCATTGACCACTTTGGATCAATCTCCTGGTGCCCCAGTGCCGACAGTTGAAGCCGCCTCACGTTTCCCGCACCCTGCGTCTGTTGCTGTACTTCATTTGACCACTTTGGATCAATTTCCCAGTGCCCCGGTGCCGACGGTCCCGCACCATGCACTACCATCGGTACCCCGGCTGGTGCACCGCTGTACTGCCATTGACCACTTTGGATCAATCTCCAGGTGCCCTGCTGCCAACAGTTGAAGCATTTCCCGCACCCTGTGTCTGTTGCTGAAGTACCATTGACCACTTTGGATGTGCCCCGGTGCCGAGGGTTGAAACCGCTCCACGTTTTCTGCACCATGTGCCGCCATCTGTACACTGGTCGGTGCACCGATATACAGTGTCTGTTGCTGTTCTACCATTGACAACTTTGGATCAATCTTCTGGTGCCCCGCTGCCGATGGTTGAAGTGGTCGGTGTCTTGGACAGTGCCTTGTTGGGTGTACTGATGCATGGTATTTGTTATGCTGGAAGTGTCGACGTCGGCGACTTCTGGTGTCCCGTTGCCGACATTTGAAGCTGGGCCATGTTTTCCTCGCCCTGTGGCGTAGCTATCGCTTCCCCGGTCAGTGCACCGATCTACGGCAATTGTTGCTGCATTTCACAGTGTCTGTGTAGAGCTTCCCTGCCATGCAACAGTGTCGACAAACGGGCCGCAACGAGGCTTGCTGCTGGCGCTGCCCCAACTCACCAGGCACATTCCCCAACTCACCAGGCACATCGACTACGCAGTGAAAGGACGCCTCCGCAAGGGTGGGCGAAAGTGGCTGTAGCGTGTGAAACCAGGGGGATGTGGCATCGAAGCCTGGTGACGTGGACGGGGAAGCGGGTGTCATAGGGGTGGGAACTAGGCTGTTATTGGCCATACCTGTCGGCGTAAACTGACTTAACACGGAATATATTAAGGGATGGAACAAACCGCTGCCACCAATGTAGCGTTTGACTAATGGGCTCTGAATGACGAATGTAATATTCCTAGGAGTTTGCCGACAGAGTACTGTAACACAATGACAGACTGAACAACACGTTGACGTGGACGAAAGAAATGTGACCCTCGGTGCTTCAGTTTTTAACTTTTGATCCTCAACAAATCATTATTAGGTCAATCACATTATAACAATAACTGCTGATTATTTGCACACTGACTCACCTTAATTCAAGCAGAGTAGCTGTCCGTCAAGGGAGATTAGGGCTCGAGTCCTTTTTTGAAGTTTCGCAGCGCACAACCGTTCAGCTCCAAGCTAGCACAACAACAACCTTTTTTGCACGAGCGGTTAACCAACTTATTACATTATCCTGCGCTGATAATATGTGACAATCGCTACATCATGTATGTCAATGTAAATGTTTTAGAGGGGGAAAAAGGAGTGTGCATTGGTCAAGCATGCTGTGAACTGTATCCCCACTCTAATAATGGTTGGTTCCCCAGCTATACTGCAGGATTATCATTGGCCCTCTTTGTGGAAACGTAATGCATATAAATGCATTTCGCTTGGCGCATAAATTAAAATCATCGAAAAATACCTGTGGAATGGATACCGGATGTGTAAATACGATACACGGCGCTAGGGAACACCGTGCTGGTAAATATTGGGGGCCTCTTCGGACAAAACATGACAGTGTGCAACGACTTGATTTCGAGTAGTCTAGAAGGTACATGGGGTGCCTTCTAATTCTAGAAGTATGCTCTGCACATGTATGCACAATATAACAGTATGCATTATAAGATAAGAAATAAACCTTAGGCAGAGTGAATGTGTATAAAAGTGTGTTGCTAGATGGTTAAGGCATTGGACTGTGAGTTCTAGACACGGCAGTTTATAACATTTTTATGTTTTTCCTTAAGTGCGAGTTTTCTTTCTTTATTGTTTTAAGTTCATTCGTACAATAAATTCCAGAATTAATTGCATTTTTTGTTGACGTAAAGTCAGAAATTGTAAAAGGACTGATTTCTTTCTTCTGAATACAAAGTCGCAATGACATGCATGGAACCAGTCCAAGATTCGTCATGGTACAAATTTTCAAGTCCTAAAAACATTAAACACGCACGTTTAGTGCAGTGCCGGTGGGTAGAAAGAAAAATATATTCAGGAACTTGTTCACAGTTAAATATACACTGCCATTTTGAAATGTAGAAAATTTCAAATGACTAAATGAAATGATTTAACTCTTTCGCTATGGCGAGCCACTAACAGCAGCTCACAAAAACTGTACATGTCGTACAGCAAGTCGGGTATCCCCATGACGTGTGCCTTATCTACATAATTTATATGATAACCTCTGACCCTAGTTTGAGCTGCTGCCAACGGCTCTTTGTCCCGCCAAAGGGGTCTGCTGCAGGTTATTTTGAGCAGATTGTTTACAGAGAGACATTTAAAGATGGCGGCGTCCAGATCGACACACGACGGAATTTCCAGCGATTTATTACGTACAAACGTGAAAAAATCGGGAAATTAAATTCAGTAGCAAAAGAGTCAACACTGAAGTTTTCGTTATTTAGATGTCTGTCATTGTTTTGACATGACAAAGACCTTGCTGTGGGACAAGTAATGAAAAAATCAAATTTGTTAGTCTTTATGAAACAGAAAGAATATTAATTGAAATAAACTGGGACTTAATGCTGTAAAAACATTATTAAGAATCCCCATGTATCAGCCATTTTGCTTTTACACATTAAAGGCCAACACTGCTGTAGGTTTTAATTAATGAAAATCAAGTCATCTTTTTTTCTTCTTTTTTTTCTCCTGCAGATGAAAGTTGCATTACATACAAATGTACACCATGTACGCTGCTCGCAACATGGCAGCTCGCAACAGCGGCAGCACTTGACAGCAGAAATGTAATGAATCCTGGCAGAAATACTGCAGCAACAAGCATAACAGCAACAGGCAGAGTTACCAGAATCACAGCAGCAGCTTTAGCTGCTGCGCATTCTAGTCGGAGTGGCAAGGCAGGTGGATATCCGATGCCTGGAAAAGGGTCTTCAGCTACTGGGCCAGGCATTAGCAGAGATATGCTAGAGCCACTGGCTCAACAGCCGTAGCCACTCGAGGAGTCACAGGAAACGTTGCCTCAACACTAACAACCAAGCCATCCTCGTCTGTTTACCACTTCTACCACCATCTCTGAAGCCTCTACAATGGCTGAACCAGTATGCTTCATTCTTCTTGTGGACAAAGAAGTACAAGGCTCGGCAAGCGACTCGCTTTTAAATCAGCGTCATGCACTTTCTTCCAAGAGAATTCTCAAAGGCTCCTTGCTTCAAGGTTACGAGGTGCCACCAGTTGGAGGCCAAAGTTACGGAGACGTAGTCAAAGGCAGTAACAGGGCAGATACGAAACAATTTGTAGTCAAACCGCTGAGTGGAGACATGCAGTTTCAATGCAGCAGCTGGGAAATTGGCCGAATCACAGTTCCAGAGAGGGATCTTCTGCGGACTATTGCCACAAACTCAGATCGCTTTAATATTTACCAGGATATGAACCTCTTACCGTATGCACTAGGCCTGAAGGAAGGGTCACTGGTGAAAGTGAGACATAGAAACCACAGCACCTCACCATATGAGGAAGTTGCTGCCCTCGTTCAGTACATCGGGCCATTGTCTGAAACGGAAATGGGAACACAATTTGGTTTGGAACTGATGGTAAGTCCATACACACAATTGCATAAGTCATTTTTTGTGTGTTAAATGTCAGTATTTTTCCAACCATTGCTTACTTTTACCTGAAGTCACAGAAAGTCAATGAAATCACAACTCTTGAGTTCAAAGAGAATTGAAGCGTTGTGGCCAACATAGCCAAGTTTTTTTGTATAAAACTTTGTGCAATTACTGATGATCATGTGCACATAATTGATAAAACCCAGATGAAGGAAATCCAATGCTTTGCATGCACCTCTGTTGACGTGTTATGGTCACATTAAAAGTTGAAATGTGAAACAATATTGTACTTAAGTTATGGTTTTTTTTACAAATGGAGATTTCACACAAGTCTGCATAATTTTTCCATTTACGGTTAGTGTATACGTTATTTCCAAAACTTCATGTTTCACTCACATTTATACTAAATTGATAACAAATGGATTGTTGTGTTGGAGCTGTGATCAACAGAGAGCCATTTTAACCCAATAAGGCACGTTTTCCTTTTACCTCTATGTCAAATATCTGACAACAAAACAGTCAAAAACTTTTTAGACAATTTCTGGGTGATTTAAACAATCTTTTCCATTTGTTCATACTTTCAGGATGATGCTTACAGAGGCCAAGGAACGTCAGATGGGGTCCTTGGAAAGTGCCGTTACTTCCAGACAGATCCTGATTGTGCCGTCTTTGTGCCAATCAGCAAACTGGTCCCACCGTCCACGTCGCAGGGAGCCTCTTATCTGTACAAGAACGTCTCATTATCAAAACAGGAGCTGCCCAATCAGCCATCAGAACTGACGAGTGTCGGGGATATTAAAAAGGGGACGACTGTATACTTGCAAGTTGGTAATGGCATGAGAAGGGGAAGAGTTGTCTATATGATTGTCCCGCATAAGGAGACTGAGCCTCATGCTGTCGTGGAAATGGTACGTAAATGTATACGAATGTGCATTTTTGTCCCATTCATGTTGATTCAATTTTGGCATTTAGTTCTATTAAAAGGGGCACTGCGTCATGGAATCCCCAAAAATGTACGGTACACGTTGTATGTGTCACAGAATTTTACACACAGCACTAATGAACAAATGTGGTTTGTAACACATTTCGTCAGCAACACCACGAAGTAACAACGATGTGCATACCAGTAAAAACTAGCCATCGGAGAAAATGGCTTCTAAAGTTGAATGCCTTCTAAAACAACACTTTGCGTCAAAACGGCAGAGTATTTTCAGTTGGGTTCTCGTTGTTGACACTTGATGAGTTGAATTTATTAAATCTGCTGTTTTTCATCCGTTTGTATATTAAATCAACAAGAAATAAGAGAAAAAAAGGTGAGTGATAGTTTGTGGAACCGAAAAAGCTCCAAAACTGTAATTTTCATTTTCACTAAGTAACACTCTTCAATGTATACAACACGAGGAAAGTGCAACTTCAGGTCAGCGCTCGCGCTCATACAAGGAGAGCACTTCTTGAAAACGTTTTTGCTCCAATTTGAGCAGAGTGCGCGCCATGCATTGCAATGGTAAATGGAACTTGAGTGTTACTTTGTGAAAACGAAAATTGTCATTTTTGCGAAAAGTTGCCATGGATAATTAGCGTAATTATTAGAGTAAAGCTCTTAAAGCTTTGAAACTTCGTGCAATGGTAGGCCTTGATGAATAATGTTTAAAAATGTTTAAAAAAAGAAGAAAATACTTTTGAATGTTCTTTCCGATTAACATCATTTCCTTCAAAACACATTTTGTAGCCCAGTTTGGCGCTTTCCAGGACGCAGTGTCCCTTTTACCGTAAGCAACAGAACAAGCAAAAAAAAAACCCCAAAATATTCATGGAGATAAGAGTGAAAAGGAACTTAGACAAAATGAAATCAGAAGAAACAAGACCCAACCTAACAATTGAATACGTATTAATAGTCGTAATAAGCCTTGGTTTGTTGATACTGAAATTGAACTTTGAAGCAAAAGTAAAGGTCAAGTAATCAGGAAAAGGTTAACCAACGGAGGCATTAGTAAACATTTGGTACAGTTGTTGATAATAGATAAACATTCAAAAGAACACCCTCAGAGAAACGTGCATGTTGTAGGGTTCTATAAGAAAAACCCAGTACTCTATTTTTCATACAAATGAAAAAAGAAATTGAACTGTGAATACACAATTGATGCAGATAAAAAGAATCTTTCCGTTGTTGTTAATAAGGAAATAAATGTGTGCTTGCGAGGTTTTAAATAAACAACTAAATAAATGTGTGCTCAGGTGATTATCAGCATACAGACTCCAACCGGTCTTAAACATAGTGTTGAATACTGACCAAGCACATATTTCGTTGTGTCCGTGCAACAAGTTCGTATCTCTTTAAATGGGCCGTACGTGAAATGCCAGTTTCAGTATGTCAAAAGGTTCTATCACACTTAAAATAACCTGGATGTACACACAAAGCAAATGGACGTCAAGATACGACCTTGTTGCACAGAGCATATTCATGCAAGATATTACCTTGTTGCACTGACAACGACGATTTATTCCCATTCATAAATACCTTTTTTGGTTAAAAATATCAAGACTTTTCGGTCCAAAAGTCAAACAAGTTAAAACTTAAAATTTCCAGTGATTTTGTTCAACAATTTCACTTCAGTTTTATTTTTAACACAAACTTTACATTTAAGAACTCCATCGTTTCCTTAAACACATTAATAAGACATGTATGTTGTTCTTTGCCTTTTTAAAGCCCAAACAAGATGGTGATCGGATGTGGAATGGAATGCACAAGGGGTATCATGTGTACACTCCTAGAAATGGTGTAATCACAACGTTTGTACCGGTCAGTGATGTGACAACACATGCCCCCGAAGGTAAGTTTCTAAAAAAATCATTAAAAATACGCCTTATTATGGCTGGTCCTAGAGGACTAGCCTGACTGACTGACTCATTGACTGTCACTTATGAGCCGGGCAGTTCTATCTTATAGGATTCCCCCATAATGCCAATGAATGGGCTAAATCCAGCCCATTGTGTAGACCAGATGCATAAAAAGACTTCCAGTGAATATTCTTTTTTATTCAGAATATAAAGTTTTGGACGAAATGTCTGAAACATCAACAATGATGATGATATTTCAGACATTTGGTGAATGTTTCAGATTTTTTTTAATGTCTTCTTACAAATCAGAAATTGTGTGTGTTATTTGCAAAGTAAGCCTATTGAAAAAAATGGCCTGTCAGTCACCTGGAAATGTCTGAAACTTAACATGGCCAGTTTCTGGATGGGCTTACGTAATGTCTGAAACAAGAGTGGTTTTAACAGGTTTACGTTTCAGATCATTGAAAAATCTGTAACGTAAAAGAGGATTAAAAATGTCTGGACGGTGTCCAAATGTCTCAAATGTAATCATTCACGTATCAGACTTTTTTTCCCGAACAAAACGTTTCAGACATTTCTGGTTGTAGTGATAATAACAATTTTCAAGTTCTTTTCACTCAAGTTATCAACTGAAATATCAGTGGGACACATTTGTTATTTTAGGAGTTATCATCTTTGGAAGACTTTTCTCCTTTATTTTACTAGGGACATTTTACCCTTTACACATTTTCCTAATGTTTTTGTATCATTGTCAGCATCCCAAGCACACAAGACAGATACAAGCAGAGTTGCCAGAAGTACAACAGCAGCTTCAGCTGCTGCACCGTCCAGAAGTGAATCAGCCACTGGGAAAGGGGCTGCTGGCACCATCCCTGGAGCCTCTACACTGGCCGAACCAACATGCTTCATTCTTCTTGTGGACAAAGAAGTACAAGTCTCGGCAAGCGACTCGCTTTTAGATTGGCGTCATACACCTTTTTCCAAGAGAATTCTCAAAGGCTCCTTGCTTCAAGGTCATGAAGTGCATGTTGGCATGGTTGGAGGCCTGAGTTATGGAGATGTAGTCAAAGGCAGTAAGAGGGCAGATGCGAAACGATTTGTAGTCGAACCGCTCAGTGGGGACATGCAGTTTCAATGCAGCAGCTTGGAAATCGGCCGAATAACAGGTCTAGAGAGGGATCTTCTGCGAGCTATTTCTGTGAACTCAGATCGCTTTAATATTTACCAGGATAGTGACCTCTTACCGTATGCACAAGGCCTGAAGGAAGGGTCGCTGGTGAAAGTGAGACATAGAAACGACAGCGTCTCACCCTATGAGGAAGTTGCTGCTCTCGTTCGGTACATCGGACCGTTGTCTGAAACTAAAATGGGAACACAATTTGGTTTGGAACTGATGGTAAGTCCTAACTCACATCACCCTATCAAGTCATTTTATTTGTTTTAGATGAGTATTCTTACCAACCACAGCTTACTTCTACCTAAAGTCACAGAAAATCAATAAAATCAAAGAGAAGTGAAGAATTTTGGCCAAGATTTGTTTTGTAATCATGGTAATTGTTCAGTGCAAAAGCACACGTAATGAATAATTGACAGAACCCATATAAAGAAAATTCAATGCTTAGCCTTAAACCTCTGTTGACCTGTTTTATGGTCACATTAAAAGTTTGGATGTGAAACAAAATTGCACTTAAGTTACAGTTCTTCTTTTTATCAAATTGGTATTTCAAACAAAGCTGCATATTTGTCAATTTGCAGTTAGGTTGGATTTGTCCAAGATTTTGTGTTGAACTTGCATTTATTATCATTATTAACAACAAAATTATTTGTCGATTATTGGGTAGAAATCGAGAGCAATTTTTTCACAATAAAGGCACATTTGCTTTCTCCTTATGCATGTGTCAAACAAGTGGCATCTAACAAAACAGTCAAAGAATTCAGAACTATTTAAATATTGTGGCTGTGTGGTCATAACTGTAGGCCTTTCATGGCTGATTTTAAAAATCTCCTTCATGTGGTCATACTTTCAGGATGATGCTTACAGAGGCCAAGGAACGTCAGATGGGATCTATGGAAAATGTCGCTACTTCCAGACAGATCCTGATTGTGCCGTCTTTGTGCCAATCAGCAAACTGGTCCCACCGTCCACGTCGCAGGGAGCCTCTTATCTGTACGAGAACGTCCCGCGATCAAAACAGGAGCTGCCCAATCAGCCATCAGAACTGACGAGTGTCGGGGATATTAAAAAGGGGACGACTGTATATTTGCAAGTTGGTAACAGCATGAGAAGGGGAAGAGTTGTCTATATGATTGTCCCGCATAAGGAGACTGAGCCTTATGCTACCGTGGAAATGGTACGTAAATGTATTCGAATGTGCATTTTTGTCCCATTCATGTTGATTCAATTTTGGCATTTAGTTCTATTAAAAGGGGCACTGCGTCATGGAATCCCCAAAAATGTACGGTACACGTTGTATGTGTCACAGAATTTTACACACAGCACTAATGTACAAATGTGGTTTGTAACACATTTCGTCAGCAACACCACGAAGTAACACCGATGTGCATACCAGTAAAAACTAGCCATCGGAGAAAATGGCATCTAAAGTTGAATGCCTTCTAAAACAACACTTTGCGTCAAAACGGCAGAGTATTTTCAGTTGGGTTCTCGTTGTTGGCACTTGATGAGTTTAATTTATTACATCTGCTGTTTTCATCCGTTTGTGTATTAAATCAACAAGAAATAAGAGAAAAAAAGGTGAGTGATAGTTTGTGGAACCGAAAAAGCTCCGAAACTGTAAATTTTCATTTTCACTAAGTAACACTCTTCAATGTATACAACACGAGGAAAGTGCAACTTCAGGTCAGCGCTCGTGCTCATACAAGGAGAGCACTTCTTGAAAACGTTTTTGCTCCAATTTGAGCAGAGTGCGCGCCATGCATTGCAATGGTAAATGGAACTTGAGTGTTACTTTGTGAAAACGAAAATTGTCATTTTTGCGCAAAAGTTGCCATGGATAATTAGCGTAATTATTAGAGTAAAGCTCTTAAAGCTTTGAAACTTCGTGCAATGGTAGGCCTTGATGAATAATGTTTAAAAATGTTTAAAAAAAGAAGAAAATACTTTTGAATGTTCTTTCCGATTAACATCATTTCCTTCAAAACACATTTTGTAGCCCGGTTTGGCGCTTTCCAGGACGCAGTGTCCCTTTTACCGTAAGCAACAGAACAAGAAAAAAAAAAACCCCAAAATATTCATGGAGATAAGAGTGAAAAGGAACTTAGACAAAATGAAATCAGAAGAAACAAGACCCAACCTAACAATTGAATACGTATTAATAGTCGTAATAAGCCTTGTTTTGTTGATACTGAAATTGGACTTTGAAGCAAAAGTAAAGGTCAAGTAATCAGGAAAAGGTTAACCAACGGAGGCATTAGTAAACATTTGGTACAGTTGTTGATAATTGATAAACATTCAAAAGAACACCCTCAGAGAAACGTGCATGTCGTAGGGTTCTATAAGAAAAACCCAGTACTCTATTTTTCATACAAATGAAAAAAGAAATTGAATTGTGAATACACAATTGATGCAGATAAAAAGAATCTTTCCGTTGTTGTTAATAAGGAAATAAATGTGTGCTTGCGAGGTTTTAAATAAACAACTAAATAAATGTGTGCTCAGGTGATTATCAGCATACAGACTCCAACCGGTCTTAAACATAGTGTTGAATAGTGACCAAGCACATATTTCGTTGTGTCCGTGCAACAAGTTCGTATCTCTTTAAATGGGCCGTACGTGAAATGCCAGTTTCAGTATGTCAAAAGGTTCTATCACACTTGAAATAACCTGGATGTACACACAAAACAAATGGACGTCAAGATACGACCTTGTTGCACAGAGCATATTCGTGCAAGATATTACCTTGTTGCACTGACAACCAGTGTTGTAGGTCTCGAGACCGGTCTCGGTCTCGGTCTCGGTCTCGAGACCACTTTTTGCCGGTCTCGGTCTCAGTCTTGGTCTCGGGAGCTGTGGTCTCGGTCTTGGTCTTGGTCTCGGTGTCCTTTGGTCTCGATATTTTGGCTGGTCTCGAGTCGAGACCAGCCAAAAAGTGGGGGGCGGATTCCGCCCCGGCCCTTTTAGGGTTAAGTAAAGAATCAGTTTAGGGCAAATGTGACTACAGTGTGATGTTAATGGACATGTCTCTCTTCTTTTTCTAGTGAGTGAGGCATAGTCCAATAACCATCCTCTTCTTTATAAGTTGGAATTTTGCGTCGGGGTGATATAAATCAAACTAGGTTTTGCCCTTCACCGACGTTTTTTAAGCACTGTATACTCAGTGTGTTACCTCCCGAGTGAAAGTTGGAAAAAATCACTCGGGTGGGACTCGAACCCACGACCTCCTGCTTTCTAGTGCAGATGTCTTACCACTCGACCACCGAGCTAACGGGATCGGTTGGCCGGTTCGAATCTGATGTACATAGCAGCGGGTACCGCATAAACTATTATAAGTTGGAATTTTGCGTCGGGGTGATATAAATCAAACTAGGTTTTGCCCTTCACCAACGTTTTTTAAGCACTGTATACTCAGTGTGTTACCTCCCGAGTGAAAGTTGGAAAAAATCACTCGGGTGGGACTCGAACCCACGACCTCCTGTTTTCTAGTGCAGATGTCTTACCACTCGACCACCGAGCTAACGGGATCGGTTGGCCGGTTCGAATCTGATGTACATAGCAGCTTTCCAACTTTAACTCGGGAGGTAACACACTGAGTATACAGTGCTTAAAAAACGTCGGTGAAGAGCAAAACCTAGTTTGATTCATCCTCTTCTTATTTCTCGTTTTTATTGTGGGACGATCTGTTGAAACAAGCACTTTATAGCCATCCTCATTGATTCCAAATACAACTGAGATTTCAATCTTATGAATCAAGACTGAAACATTATTTTTACCGTCAGATTTTGTATTTTGAATATGGGGAACAATTCAACTCTTTTTCCCTAGAAATATTGGTGATATTTTTTTATTTTCCTTTTTAATTTTTCCTTTATTCGTGGAGGCGGGAAAAGTTTTTTTTTTTCATTATATTTATTAATGGATATTCATCAATTCGTAGACCGTTAAATTGGTATTAGTGGTGTACAGCTGAATTTTGTGATCCTTTATTAAAATAGACACGACTTGGGAATAGAGTATGCAAATTACGTGAAATGTTCACAGTTACTACTGAATAACATGTTCTTTATCCCAATTGTATTTTTTTACAAAATGGAGCGTGTCATTTTTTTTTTTTTTCATACTGTCACTTTCTTTTTGACTCGCCATGTATTCATCTTTTCTTCTGTGATAAACACAAATTGAGCTACTGCCATGGTAACACAAAAATAGAGTCTAATTGCCTGCCTCGTCTCCTTCCTAAATGTCAATTGCATTTGCATAAGTCGGGAAGAATTGTGTTCCATTAATCGCTATATGCTGTTTACGGCCATCACAATAAACTATTAATATATTGGCAATATGTCGTAATTGTTAATCACTAAAATATTCAAGTAAATCGCCCGGCAAAGTAGCCGATGCAGGCGATACGCTGGCACGGTACAAAACACAGAGAGGCGTGCGCACTGAGCCATGAATCCCAAAAGTACATCTCGCCCACCACATTCAGTTTGTGACAGCGCCATTCTATTGTGTCCGCCATATTCTCAAATAGGCTAATGACGATGATGACGGCGGGCTGAATAACAGAAGATAGATCAGGCAAATATGGTTCATCAATCTTCTATAGTATATGTAACGTTATTGACATTAAACAAAAATAAAGTGGCATTACATTTCAGCCTTAGCCAGGCCTTCTTCAGAGGTAAATGACAGATGAACAAGAAACAAACATGTAGGGGACACACAAACATGCAGGGTTGGAAGGAGAATCACAAAGAGGGATGTGGGGGGGGGGGCAGATCAATCCATATCCGGCCACCATCTCTCATTTTTTTTGTACAAATCTATATTCCATGACTGAAATAAATCAATATTTTCTTGCTCCAATTTTTTTTCGAATCAGGTTTACAAGGAGGTCCAATGTAAAATTAAAGTTGCATTTAAATATCCGTTAGTGGTCATTGCTGAAACCAAGGGGTGGCTGTGGAGTTTGGGGTCCGAGTTCCTATAACAGATGAAACATCCACCTTTAATTTTTTACTTTTGTCAAGTTTCAACATGTTCAAGTTTTTCAAAAACTAGTACAAATTATCGTACTCTTAAGTTAGAGTTTCTTCATCAGATTTACACTTTATAGTAGTTAAACAATATTTGTAAAAAAAAAAAAAAATAAACTGGCAAAAATATATGGAGTTCATCAAATAAGGTTTTACCCTTCTTTAAATTAGGTTGCTTCCAATTTTTTTAATGATTGGGACAATAACAAATTCTGTTCCCATGCTGTAATTTATGGCATGAAGCAAACACGAAGAGCACTCGCATGACACAATTAAGCAGGTACAAGTGATTCCTAACTTTCAATCACTTCCTTCACATCCCCATGAACATCAACATCTCAAGGACAGACTGTTCAGCTGTAATTAGTGTCTTGATGTTTATTTAGATTATTGTTATTTATTATCCGCGGTCTCGGTCTCGGTCTCGGACCATTTCGGTCTCGGTCTCGGTCCGCCTTGAAGGGGCTGGTCTCGGTCTCGGTCTCGATCTCGCAACTTCAGGTCTCGGTCTTGGTCTCGGTCTCGGACTATCCGGTCTCGACTACAACACTGCTGACAACGACGATTTATTCCCATTCATAAATACCTATTTTGGTTAAAAATATCAAGACTTTTCGGTCCAAAAGTCAAAACAAGTTAAAACTTAAAATTTCCAGTGATTTTGTTCAACAATTTCACTTCAGTTTTATTTTTAACACAAACTTTACATTTAAGAACTCCATCGTTTCCTTAAACACATTAATAAGACATGTATGTTGTTCTTTGCCTTTTTTAAAGCCCAAACAAGATGGTGATCGGATGTGGAATGGAATGCACAAGGGGTATCATGTGTACACTCCTAGAAATGGTGTAATCACAACGTTTGTACCGGTCAGTGATGTGACAACACATGCCCCCGAAGGTAAGTTTCTAAAAAAATCATTAAAAATACGCCTTATTATGGCTGGTCCTAGAGGACTAGCCTGACTGACTGACTCATTGACTGTCACTTATGAGCCGGGCAGTTCTATCTTATAGGATTCCCCCATAATGCCAATGAATGGGCTAAATCCAGCCCATTGTGTAGACCAGATGCATAAAAAGACTTCCAGTGAATATTCTTTTTTATTCAGAAAATAAAGTTTTGGACGAAATGTCTGAAACATCAACAATGATGATGATATTTCAGACATTTGGTGAATGTTTCAGATTTTTTTTAATGTCTTCTTACAAATCAGAAATTGTGTGTGTTATTTGCAAAGTAAGCCTATTGAAAAAAATGGCCTGTCAGTCACCTGGAAATGTCTGAAACTTAACATGGCCAGTTTCTGGATGGGCTTACGTAATGTCTGAAACAAGAGTGGTTTTAACAGGTTTACGTTTCAGATCATTGAAAAATCTATAACGTAAAAGAGGATTAAAAATGTAATGTAATCGTTCACGTATCAGACATTTTTTCCCGAACAAAAACGTTTCAGACATTTCTGGTTGTAGTGATAATAACAATTTTCAAGTTCTTTTCACTCAAGTTATCAACTGAAATATCAGTGGGACACATTTGTTATTTTAGGAGTTATCATCTTTGGAAGACTTTTCTCCTTTATTTTACTAGGGACATTTTACCCTTTACACATTTTCCTAATGTTTTTGTATCATTGTCAGCATCCCAAGCACACAAGACAGATACAAGCAGAGTTGCCAGAAGTACAACAGCAGCTTCAGCTGCTGCACCGTCCAGAAGTGAATCAGCCACTGGGAAAGGGGCTGCTGGCACCATCCCTGGAGCCTCTACACTGGCCGAACCAACATGCTTCATTCTTCTTGTGGACAAAGAAGTACAAGTCTCGACAAGCGACTCGCTTTTAGATTGGCGTCATACACCTTTTTCCAAGAGAATTCTCAAAGGCTCCTTGCTTCAAGGTCATGAAGTGCATGTTGGCATGGTTGGAGGCCTGAGTTATGGAGATGTAGTCAAAGGCAGTAAGAGGGCAGATGCGAAACGATTTGTAGTCGAACCGCTCAGTGGGGACATGCAGTTTCAATGCAGCAGCTTGGAAATCGGCCGAATAACAGGTCTAGAGAGGGATCTTCTGCGAGCTATTTCCGTGAACTCAGATCGCTTTAATATTTACCAGGATAGTGACCTCTTACCGTATGCACAAGGCCTGAAGGAAGGGTCACGGGTGAAAGTGAGACATAGAAACGACAGCGTCTCACCCTATGAGGAAGTTGCTGCTCTCGTTCAGTACATCGGACCGTTGTCTGAAACTAAAATGGGAACACAATTTGGTTTGGAACTGATGGTAAGTCCTAACTCACATCACCCTATCAAGTCATTTTATTTGTTTTAGATGAGTATTCTTACCAACCACAGCTTACTTCTACCTAAAGTCGCAGAAAATCAATAAAATCAAAGAGAAGTGAAGAATTTTGGCCAAGATTTGTTTTGTAATTGTTCAGTGCAAAAGCACACGTATTGAATAATTGACAGAACCCATATAAAGAAAATTCAATGCTTAGCCTTAAACCTCTGTTGACCTGTTTTATGGTCACATTAAAAGTTTGGATGTGAAACAAAATTGCACTTAAGTTACAGTTCTTCTTTTTATCAAATTGGTATTTCAAACAAAGCTGCATATTTGTCAATTTGCAGTTAGGTTGGATTTGTCCAAGATTTTGTGTTGAACTTGCATTTATTATCATTATTGACAACAAAATTATTTGTCAATTATTGGGTAGAAATCGAGAGCAATTTTTTCACAATAAAGGCACATTTGCTTTCTCCTTATGCATGTGTCAAACAAGTGGCATCTAACAAAACAGTCAAAGAATTCAGAACTATTTAAATATTGTGGCTGTGTGGTCATAACTGTAGGCCTTTCATGGCTGATTTTAAAAATCTCCTTCATGTGGTCATACTTTCAGGATGATGCTTACAGAGGCCAAGGAACGTCAGATGGGATCTATGGAAAGTGTCGCTACTTCCAGACAGATCCTGATTGTGCCGTCTTTGTGCCAATCAGCAAACTGGTCCCACCGTCCACGTCGCAGGGAGCCTCTTATCTGTACGAGAACGTCCCGCGATCAAAACAGGAGCTGCCCAATCAGCCATCAGAACTGACGAGTGTCGGGGATATTAAAAAGGGGACGACTGTATATTTGCAAGTTGGTAACAGCATGAGAAGGGGAAGAGTTGTCTATATGATTGTCCCGCATAAGGAGACTGAGCCTTATGCTACCGTGGAAATGGTACGTAAATGTATTCGAATGTGCATTTTTGTCCCATTCATGTTGATTCAATTTTGGCATTTAGTTCTATTAAAAGGGGCACTGCGTCATGGAATCCCTAAAAATGTACTGTACACGTTGTATGTGTCACAGAATTTTACACACAGCACTAATGTACAAATGTGGTTTGTAACACATTTCGTCAGCAACACCACGAAGTAACACCGATGTGCATACCAGTAAAAACTAGCCATCGGAGAAAATGTCATCTAAAGTTGAATGCCTTCTAAAACAACACTTTGCGTCAAAACGGCAGAGTATTTTCAGTTGGGTTCTCGTTGTTGACACTTGATGAGTTGAATTTATTAAATCTGCTGTTTTTCATCCGTTTGTGTATTAAATCAACAAGAAATAAGAGAAAAAAAGTGAGTGATAGTTTGTGGAACCCAAAAAGCTCCAAAACTGTAAATTTTCGTTTTCACTAAGTAACACTCTTTAATGTATACAACACGAGGAAAGTGCAACTTCAGGTCATACAAGGAGGGTGTTACTTCTTGAAAACGTTTTTTGCTCACATTTGAGCAGAGTGCGCGCCATGCATTGCAATGGTAAATGGAACTTGAGTGTTTCTTCTCGAAAACGAAAATTGTCATTTTTGCACAAAAGTTGCCATGGATAATTAGCGTAATAATTAAAGTAAAGCTCTTAAAGCTTTGGAACTTCGTGCGATGGTAGGCCTTGATGAATAATGTTTAAAAATGTAAAAAAAAACACCGAAAATCGAAAACAATTTGGTTTAACACATGGAATGTTACTTCGTGGTGTTGGTGACAATGTAACACTTTACGGCTGAAATCACAACTAGCCCGACCTTTTAAGGTCGCAAGAGTGGACCCCAAAACTCGTTCTCGTACGAAACAACGCAAAATTGCCCAATTTTTAAAGGATGGTTTGTGGATGTTTATATCTTACTTTTGAATGTTCTTTCTGATTAACATCATTTCCTTCAAAACACATTTTGTAGCCCAGTTTGGCGCTTTCCAGGACGCAGTGTCCCTTTTACCGTAAGCAACAGAACAAGCAAAAAAAAACCCCCAAAATATTCATGGAGATAAGAGTGAGAAGGAACTTAGACAAAATGAAATCAGACGAAACAAGACCCATCAACCAAACAATTAAAAATGTATCAATAGTCGTAATAAGCCTTGGTTTGTTGATACTGAAATTGAACTTTGAAGCATAAGTAAAGGTCAAGTAATCATGAAAAGGTAAACAACAGAGTTAAAGGCAATGGTTTCATATCACTTGGATAGGCATGAGTAAATATTTTGTACAATCGTTGATAATAAATAAATATTCCAAAGAAAAACCTCTGAGAAACATGCATGTCATAGGGTCTATTAGAAAAAAACAGTTCTCTACTCTACATGCAAATGAAAAAAAAGAATTTGATTCATGAATACACAATGCAGATAAAAAAATCTTTCCGTTCTTGTTAATAAGGGAATAAATGTGCGCTTGAGAGGTTTTATACACTCTGTTTAAGAACGGATGCTGATAATTACCCGAGCCAGCATCCACACTCCAACTGGTCTTAAACATAGCGCTTAATACCGACCAAGCACACATTCATTCCCATTCATAAATACCTTTTTGGTCAAAACATCAAAACTTTTCGGTCTAAAATTCAAAAATAGTAAAAGATGAAAACTTTCCAAAGATTTTGTTCAACAAGTTCACTTAACATGCCTTTTGAAACACCCCTCGGGTGTCCAGCTTGCAAGTAAGTCGTAAACAACTCCTTTAATGGAGATTGAATTGCACATCATGTGTACTGTGGCGGTGAGATGTGAATTAATGACTGAAATACTGACTCACTGGTAGTATTGCGCATGCCTATATGTGAGGATTGTGAATGTTCAACATGTTCAATGTTCAATAGAACGGTAAAAGGCACTGGATTTCACTGGAGTCAAAATTTTATGTGACACTGGATAAGTGTTTATAAAATAAGACCAGCCAGCCGGTCTTTATCATCCGTTTAGGACCAAGTGACGGGCTCTCGACCAATGGGAGCGAGTAAACTGTCTTAGGTATTTATGAATGGTACTTAATATGGCATGGCACTTAACATGGAGCCTTTTGATTTTGCCATTTAAAAGGTAAAATAAAAAAAAAGTTTATATTTTAACCCAAGTTTAACATTTAAGAACTCCATCATTTCCTTAAATACATGTAATTCAGTAAGTCATGTATGTTTTTCTTTGCCTTTTTTAAAGCCCAAAAAAGATGGTGATCGGATGTGGAATGGAATGCACAGGGGGTATCATGTGTTCACTCCTAGAAATGAGGTCTTCACAAAATTTGTACCGGCCAACAATTTGACAACACTTGCCCCTGAAGGTAAGTTCCTACTGAAATCATTAAAAATGAGCCTAATTATTAAGGCTGGTCAGAGAGTGTCCTCTTGTTACCTGACTGACTGACTGACTGACTCACTGACTCATTGACTGTAACATGTGAGCTGGGCAGTTTTATCGTATAGGATTACCCCCATTTCGTCAATGATTGGGCTAAAACCGGTCCATTGTGTAGACCAGATGCATTCCAGTGAATAGCTATTCAGAGTATAGTTGAATAGGATTTTTTTGCGTTAGAAGACCGGCTTTACTGGGCTTACCCTGTGGTTTGCTGTACAATGTTAAAGAAGCTTCCTGGTATTAAAGGGATAGAACTTGCTCAGAACCAAGTTTTCTTCTAGTCCAAGGACTTGTGAATTATTTGTTACAAGGTATAAAATATCTCCCTCTCTAGCTGATAAATTGGAAAGCGCTATCACTCCAGCCAAAATCAATCTGTCTTTTTAATTATCAAAATTGCTATGCCTACATGGCGATAGACTTGCTATGACTTTAGGTCTGCCAGTTGCCTGCTGAAAGTTGAACAAATTTGGCTAGTCATATTTTTGTTATATTTGGTGACTAGGTAGCGAGTGTATGAGGCAATGCTACTTGAGTGAACTGAATATTTGACTGTCTGCAAATGTGGGGTCCTTGAATATAAAAATTCTGATAATCGATCTTGTATCATTAAACTAATATTGATTATCTTTGTTATATTTACAACACCTGTTGCAAGTTAACTTCTTGTTGGCCAGCTAACAAAATGTGTATCGGGCTGATACACATAGGCTCAACGTTAAAAAAAAGAAAGAGGAAAACAAGAGTGAAACGTCCTGTAAATCCTGTATGTCCATGCATCTTTATACCAAACATGCCTTTCAACAACTTTCTCATTTGAAAACCATAACATTTCTGCTGTCCGTATATTTTTACTTTTGTTAATTTACAATCAATGATTCAGCAAGACCGGCAAGCTTTCCTTCGAGCTGCTGTTCAGGTTCCTGAAACTGAAAGCAATTGGCTGCACAGGACAGTAAATTACATGAGGCATGCATGCAATAATGATGGTTCCCACCCATGTAAAGATAATAGCTGATGCTGGAAGAACCTGAAACAGTTTACAGCTCAGCTCAGTTATATTGCTTTGGACTACATTATTTTTGAGCGAGGGCTATCAATCATCAGGACATTTGCTCACTGTTCCCACGATGGAAATATCTTCCTTTAATAATTCATCTTCTTTTTTTCGAAAATCATTTTGAAATGTTTTTAATAATATTTAATGTTTAAATTACACTCTTGAGCCATACAAAAAGTGTGAAGCCCCCGCAAAAAAAATTAATTATCCACACAACAAGGCAGAATGTCAATGCTTTCATAAGTTCTGATGCGGGTTTTAGTAGACATGGTATAAACAAGTATATATTAAATAAAATTATGAGTTTCAACCTACCTGTCACAGCAAGAGAACTATTCTGTAATGTTTATATTTACGACCAAAAAAAGCTATCCGCATTGTCTTCCGTTGTCATTTTCTCTTATCAAATTTTTGATTTTTCAATATGATTTAAAAATGATATTGATGATATCGATATTACATTGATATCGAGTAATATTGATATATCGACGGACCCTATGGAAATGTCCAAACAGAATTAATCCTAGCCCTGCCATTTAACACATAGTCTGAGTATCACCCGTTCTCCACAGAGCCCTATCTAGCTCCGGTCGAACGTCTGACATCTCCTGACATGCAAAATTATGCAAGCCGCACGCCAGCCAATCGGAGTCGATTGGTCAATTCGAATGCAGTGTTTTGTAATACAACAACAGCTGGGAGCGCATTCGCGTAACATGATACCGAGCGCCGGGCGCCCTGACAGTTTCTTTTAATCTATGTCTATGATGCGCAACGGGTGAATGACCGCAGACCCGATTGGCCTCAGACACAGTGCATCAGATTGCTGCATTGAGCCATCAGCAACAGTGCATATTATATGGCCGGATCCTAGACAGTGGGAGCTAGTCCCATTGAACAAAGCCACTTGTATCCTGCTGCAGTTGGCAACTACAGATTTGAGACAGTTGACCCTATGGAATTATTGACTTGGTGGATCTTGTTGTGTTGTTGCATTAGACAGGGTTTAATACAAAATGTTGTTAATGTTGTTTTTCTTTGTCTGATGCTAGAATATCAGGATTTGTACACAAAGGAGCCATCCCCAAGCCTGCCATCGAAGGCGAAAAACAATGGAAAGAAACCCTCAGAACCATTCTGGGCAGCCAAGAACATGCCACGTAAGACACCCTCTCCGTATGGTAGCAGCGAGAAACTTGATAAGGGAAGCCACAAGCCATCTGGTGGCAGACGTGATGTGAGCGATAGCTATAACCCAGGTCAGTGAAACATCACCCAGGTGAAAACTCCACTCAAAACTAGTTCAACTGGTTCAACTGGTTTCAACTGGACCAGTTGAATTGGCGATTGATGACTGGCTTTGAACTAGTTTTACTGGTGTTGAACTGGTACAAACTGGTTCAACCAATTCAACCATGTCAAAACCAATTAAACCAGTTTTAAAAAGGTAAACTAGTTCATAAGCAATCACCAATTTCCAGTGCAACTGGTTTCAACTGTCATTTTTGCTTGGGCAGGATATTTTTTAACTTGCTTTTTTTTTTACTCAGAATCATTCTTTGTAGCCAACAACAAGCCACGCAAGACACCCTCTCCGTACGGCAGCAGTGAGAAACTAGATAAGGGAAGCCACAAGCCATCTGGTGGTAGACGTGATGTGAGCGATAGATATTTCCAAGGTCAGTAAAACATCACCCAGGTAACAATTTCCAATCAAAACTAGTACAATTGGTTCAACTGGTTTCAACTGGACCAGTTGAATTGGCAATTGATGACTTGGCGATTGAATTGGCGATTGATGACTGGCTTTGAACTAGTTTAACTGCTGTTGAACTGGTACAAACTGGTTCAACCAGTTCAACATGTCAAACCCAATTAAACCAGTTTAAAAAAGGGAAAAACTAGTTGAAAAGCGACAATCACCAATTTCCCGCCGATTTGGTTCTCGCCGCTGTAAAGATAATAGCTGATGCTGGAAGAACCTGAAACAGTCTACAGCTCAGCTCAGTTATATTGCTTTGGACTACATTATTTTTGAGCGAGGGCTATCAATCATCAGGACATTTGCTTAGTGTTCGCCCGATGGAAATATTATCTTCCTTTAATAATTTATCTTGTTCTTTTTTTGAAAATCATTTTGAAATGTTTTTAATAATATTTTTTGCTTAAATTACACTCTTGAGCCATACAAAAAGTGTGAAGCCCCCGCAAAAAAAATGAATTATCCACACAACAAGGCAGAATGTCAATGCTTTCATAAGTTCTGATGCGGGTTTTAGTAGACATCGTGATAAGTAAGTATGTATTAAATGAAATTATGAGTTTAAACCTACCTGTCACTTCAAGGGAACTATTCTGTAATGTTTATGTTTACGACAAAAAAAAGCTATCCGCATTGTCTTCCGTTGTCATTTTCTCTTATCAAATTTTTGATTTTTCAATATGATTAAAAAAATGATATTGATGATATTGATATCACATTGATATCGAGTAATATTGATATATCAACGGACACTATGGAAATGTCCAAACAGAATTAATCCTAGCCCTGCCATTTAACACATAGTCTGAGTATCACCCGTTCTCCACAGAGCCCTATCTAGCTCCGGTCGAACGTCTGCATCTCCTGACATGCAAATTTATGCAAGCCGCACGCCAGCCAATCGAAGTTGTTTGGTCAATTCGAATGCAGTGTTTTGTAATACAACAACAGCTGGGAGCGCATTCGCGTAACATGATACCGAGCGCCAGGCGCAGTGACAGTTTCTTTTTAATACATGTCTATGATGCGCAACGGGTGAATGACCGAGGACCCGATTGGCCTATAGAAAGCGCCTGCTGATTGGTCAAAATCTAGGAAGTCAAGAGGCGGGGTCTTGCCTAATTAATCAGCAAATCTGTTGACGTAAAATAGACCACGGCTCTTATTACATAGACTATTTAACACAGTGCATCAGATTGCTGCATTGAGCCATCAACAACAGTGCATATTATATGGCCGGATCCTAGACAGTGGGAGCTAGTCCCATTGAACAAAGCCACTTGTATCCTGCTGCAGTTGGCAACTACAGATCTGAGACAGTTGAGCCTATGGAATTATTGACTTGGTGGATCTTGTTACACGGTGTGTTGTTGCATTAGACAGGGTTTTAGACAAAATATTGTTAATGCTGTATTTCTTTGTCTGATGCTAGAATATCAGGATTTGTACACAAAGGAGCCATCCCCAAGCCTGCCATCGACGGTGAAAAACAAGGGAAAGAAACCCTCAGAACCGTTCTGGGCAGCCAAGAACAAGCCACGTAAGACACCCTCTCCGTATGGTAGCAGCGAGAAACTTGATAAGGGAAGCCACAAGCCATCTGGTGGCAGACGTGATGTGAGCGAAAGCTATAACCCAGGTTTGTGAAACATCACCCAGGTGAAAATTCCACTCAAAACTAGTTCAACTGGTTCAACTGGTTTCAACTGGACCAGTTGAATTGGCGATTGATGACTGGCTTTGAACTAGTTTTACTGGTGTTGAACTGGTACAAACTGGTTCGACCAATTCAACCATGTCAAAACCAATTAAACCAGTTTCAAAAAGGTAAACTAGTTCATAAGCAATCACCAATTTCCAGTGCAACTGGTTTCAACTGTCATTTTTGCTTGGGCAGGATATTTTTTAACTTGCTTTTTTTTTTACTCAGAATCGTTCTTTGTAGCCAACAACAAGCCACGCAAGACACCGTCTCTGTACGGCAGCAGTGAGAAGCTTGATAAAGGAAGCCACAATCCATCTGGTGGCAAACGTGATGTGAGTGATAGATATTACCAAGGTCAGTGAAACATCACCCAGGTGACAATTTCCACTCAAAACTAGTACAATTGGTTCAACTGGTTTCAACTGGACCAGTTGAATTGGCGATTGATGACTGGCTTTGAACTAGTTTTACTGGTGTTGAACTGGTACAAACTGGTTCGACCAATTCAACCATGTCAAAACCAATTAAACCAGTTTCAAAAAGGTAAACTAGTTCATAAGCAATCACCAATTTCCAGTGCAACTGGTTTCAACTGTCATTTTTGCTTGGGCAGGATATTTTTTAACTTGCTTTTTTTTTTACTCAGAATCGTTCTTTGTAGCCAACAACAAGCCACGCAAGACACCGTCTCTGTACGGCAGCAGTGAGAAGCTTGATAAAGGAAGCCACAATCCATCTGGTGGCAAACGTGATGTGAGTGATAGATATTACCAAGGTCAGTGAAACATCACCCAGGTGACAATTTCCACTCAAAACTAGTACAATTGGTTCAACTGGTTTCAACTGGACCAGTTGAATTGGCGATTGATGACTGGCTTTGAACTAGTTTTACTGGTGTTGAACTGGTACAAACTGGTTCAACCAATTCAACCATGTCAAAACCAATTAAACCAGTTTCAAAAAGGTAAACTAGTTCATAAGCAATCACCAATTTCCAGTGCAACTGGTTTCAACTGTCATTTTTGCTTGGGCAGGATATTTTTTAACTTGCTTTTTTTTTTACTCAGAATCGTTCTTTGTAGCCAACAACAAGCCACGCAAGACACCCTCTCCGTACGGCAGCAGTGAGAAGCTAGATAAGGGAAGCCACAAGCCATCTGGTGGCAGACGTGATGTGAGCGATAGCTCTAAACCAGGTCAGTGAAACATCACCCAGGTGACAATTTCCACTCAAAACTAGTACAATTGGTTCAACTGGTTTCAACTGGACCAGTTGAATTGGCGATTGATGACTGGCTTTGAACTAGTTTTACTGGTGTTGAACTGGTACAAACTGGTTCAACCAGTTCAACCATGTCAAACCCAATTAAACCAGTTTAAAAAAGGGAAAAACTAGTTGAAAAGCGACAATCACCAATTTCCCGCCAATTTGGTTCCCGCCGCTGTAAAGATAATAGCTGATGCTGGAAGAACCTGAAACAGTCTACAGCTCAGCTCAGTTATGTTGCTTTGGACTACATTTTTTTGAGCGAGGGCTATCAATCATCAGGACATTTGCTTAGTGTTCGCCCGATGGAAATATTATCTTCCTTTAATAATTTATCTTGTTCTTTTTTTGAAAATCATTTTGAAATGTTTTTAATAATATTTTTTGCTTAAATTACACTCTTGAGCCATACAAAAAGTGTGAAGCCCCCGCAAAAAAAATGAATTATCCACACAACAAGGCAGAATGTCAATGCTTTCATAAGTTCTGATGCGGGTTTTAGTAGACATCGTGATAAGCAAGTATGTATTAAATGAAATTATGAGTTTAAACCTACCTGTCACTTCAAGGGAACTATTCTGTAATGTTTATGTTTACAACAAAAAAAAGCTATCCGCATTGTCTTCCGTTGTCATTTTCTCTTATCAAATTTTTGATTTTTCAATATGATTAAAAAAATGATATTGATGATATTGATATCACATTGATATCGAGTAATATTGATATATCAACGGACACTATGGAAATGTCCAAACAGAATTAATCCTAGCCCTGCCATTTAACACATAGTCTGAGTATCACCCGTTCTCCACAGAGCCCTATCTAGCTCCGGTCGAACGTCTGACATCTCCTGACATGCAAATTTATGCAAGCCGCACGCCAGCCAATCGGAGTGGATTGGTTAATTCGAATGCAGTGTTTTGTAATACAACAACAGCTGGGAGCGCATTCGCGTAACATGATACCGAGCGCCAGGCGCCGTGACAGTTTCTTTTTAATACATGTCTATGATGCGCAACGGGTGAATGACCGAAGACCCGATTGGCCTATAGAAAGCGCCTGCTGATTGGTCAAAATCTAGGAAGTCAAGAGGCGGGGTCTTGCCTATATAATCAGCAAATCTGTTGACGTAAAATAGACCACGGCTCTTATTACATAGACTATTTAACACAGTGCATCAGATTGCTGCATTGAGCCATTAGCAACAGTGCATATTATATGGCCGGATCCTAGACAGTGGGAGCTAGTCCCATTGAACAAAGCCACTTGTATCCTGCTGCAGTTGGCAACTACAGATCTGAGACAGTTGAGCCTATGGAATTATTGACTTGGTGGATCTTGTCACACGGTGTGTTGTTGCATTAGACAGGGTTTTAGACAAAATATTGTTAATGCTGTATTTCTTTGTCTGATGCTAGAATATCAGGATTTGTACACAAAGGAGCCATCCCCAAGCCTGCCATCGACGGCGAAAAACAAGGGAAAGAAACCCTCAGAACCGTTCTGGGCAGCCAAGAACAAGCCACGTAAGACACCCTCTCCGTATGGTAGCAGCGAGAAACTTGATAAGGGAAGCCACAAGCCATCTGGTGGCAGACGTGATGTGAGCGAAAGCTATAACCCAGGTCAGTGAAACATCACCCAGGTGAAAATTCCACTCAAAACTAGTTCAACTGGTTCAACTGGTTTCAACTGGACCAGTTGAATTGGCGATTGATGTCTGGCTTTGAACTAGTTTTACTGGTGTTGAACTGGTACAAAATGGTTCAACCAATTCAACCATGTCAAAACCAATTAAACCAGTTTCAAAAAGGTAAACTAGTTCATAAGCAATCACCAATTTCCAGTGCAACTGGTTTCAACTGTCATTTTTGCTTGGGCAGGATATTTTTTAACTTGCTTTTTTTTTTACTCAGAATCGTTCTTTGTAGCCAACAACAAGCCACGCAAGACACCGTCTCTGTACGGCAGCAGTGAGAAGCTTGATAAGGGAAGCCACAATCCATCTGGTGGCAAACGTGATGTGAGTGATAGATATTACCAAGGTCAGTGAAACATCACCCAGGTGACAATTTCCACTCAAAACTAGTACAATTGGTTCAACTGGTTTCAACTGGACCAGTTGAATTGGCGATTGATGACTGGCTTTGAACTAGTTTTACTGGTGTTGAACTGGTACAAACTGGTTCAACCAATTCAACCATGTCAAAACCAATTAAACCAGTTTCAAAAAGGTAAACTAGTTCATAAGCAATCACCAATTTCCAGTGCAACTGGTTTCAACTGTCATTTTTGCTTGGGCAGGATATTTTTTAACTTGCTTTTTTTTTTACTCAGAATCGTTCTTTGTAGCCAACAACAAGCCACGCAAGACACCCTCTCCGTACGGCAGCAGTGAGAAGCTAGATAAGGGAAGCCACAAGCCATCTGGTGGCAGACGTGATGTGAGCGATAGCTCTAAACCAGGTCAGTGAAACATCACCCAGGTGACAATTTCCACTCAAAACTAGTACAATTGGTTCAACTGGTTTCAACTGGACCAGTTGAATTGGCGATTGATGACTGGCTTTGAACTAGTTTTACTGGTGTTGAACTGGTACAAACTGGTTCAACCAGTTCAACCATGTCAAACCCAATTAAACCAGTTTAAAAAAGGGAAAAACTAGTTGAAAAGCGACAATCACCAATTTCCCGCCAATTTGGTTCCCGCCGCTGTAAAGATAATAGCTGATGCTGGAAGAACCTGAAACAGTCTACAGCTCAGCTCAGTTATGTTGCTTTGGACTAAATTTTTTTGAGCGAAGGCTATCAATCAGCAGGACATTTGCTTAGTGTTCGCCCGATGGAAATATTATCTTCCTTTAATAATTTATCTTGTTCTTTTTTTGAAAATCATTTTGAAATGTTTTTAATAATATTTTTTGCTTAAATTACACTCTTGAGCCATACAAAAAGTGTGAAGCCCCCGCAAAAAAATGAATTATCCACACAACAAGGCAGAATGTCAATGCTTTCATAAGTTCTGATGCGGGTTTTAGTAGACATCGTGATAAGCAAGTATGTATTAAATGAAATTATGAGTTTAAACCTACCTGTCACTTCAAGGGAACTATTCTGTAATGTTTATGTTTACGACAAGAAAAAGCTATCCGCATTGTCTTCCGTTGTCATTTTCTCTTATCAAATTTTTGATTTTTCAATATGATTAAAAAAATGATATTGATGATATTGATATCACATTGATATCGAGTAATATTGATATATCAACGGACACTATGGAAATGTCCAAACAGAATTAATCCTAGCCCTGCCATTTAACACATAGTCTGAGTATCACCCGTTCTCCACAGAGCCCTATCTAGCTCCGGTCGAACGTCTGACATCTCCTGACATGCAAATTTATGCAAGCCGCACGCCAGCCAATCGGAGTGGATTGGTTAATTCGAATGCAGTGTTTTGTAATACAACAACAGCTGGGAGCGCATTCGTGTAACATGATACCGAGCGCCAGGCGCCGTGACAGTTTCTTTTTAATACATGTCTATGATGCGCAACGGGTGAATGACCGAAGACCCGATTGGCCTATAGAAAGCGCCTGCTGATTGGTCAAAATCTAGGAAGTCAAGAGGCGGGGTCTTGCCTATATAATCAGCAAATCTGTTGACGCAAAATAGACCACGGCTCTTATTACATAGACTATTTAACACAGTGCATCAGATTGCTGCATTGAGCCATTAGCAACAGTGCATATTATATGGCCGGATCCTAGACAGTGGGAGCTAGTCCCATTGAACAAAGCCACTTGTATCCTGCTGCAGTTGGCAACTACAGATCTGAGACAGTTGAGCCTATGGAATTATTGACTTGGTGGATCTTGTCACACAGTGTGTTGTTGCATTAGACAGGGTTTTAGACAAAATATTGTTAATGCTGTATTTCTTTGTCTGATGCTAGAATATCAGGATTTGTACACAAAGGAGCCATCCCCAAGCCTGCCATCGACGGCGAAAAACAAGGGAAAGAAACCCTCAGAACCGTTCTGGGCAGCCAAGAACAAGCCACGTAAGACACCCTCTCCGTATGGTAGCAGCGAGAAACTTGATAAGGGAAGCCACAAGCCATCTGGTGGCAGACGTGATGTGAGCGAAAGCTATAACCCAGGTCAGTGAAACATCACCCAGGTGAAAATTCCACTCAAAACTAGTTCAACTGGTTCAACTGGTTTCAACTGGACCAGTTGAATTGGCGATTGATGTCTGGCTTTGAACTAGTTTTACTGGTGTTGAACTGGTACAAAATGGTTCAACCAATTCAACCATGTCAAAACCAATTAAACCAGTTTCAAAAAGGTAAACTAGTTCATAAGCAATCACCAATTTCCAGTGCAACTGGTTTCAACTGTCATTTTTGCTTGGGCAGGATATTTTTTAACTTGCTTTTTTTTTTACTCAGAATCGTTCTTTGTAGCCAACAACAAGCCACGCAAGACACCGTCTCTGTACGGCAGCAGTGAGAAGCTTGATAAAGGAAGCCACAATCCATCTGGTGGCAAACGTGATGTGAGTGATAGATATTACCAAGGTCAGTGAAACATCACCCAGGTGACAATTTCCACTCAAAACTAGTACAATTGGTTCAACTGGTTTCAACTGGACCAGTTGAATTGGCGATTGATGACTGGCTTTGAACTAGTTTTACTGGTGTTGAACTGGTACAAACTGGTTCAACCAATTCAACCATGTCAAAACCAATTAAACCAGTTTCAAAAAGGTAAACTAGTTCATAAGCAATCACCAATTTCCAGTGCAACTGGTTTCAACTGTCATTTTTGCTTGGGCAGGATATTTTTTAACTTGCTTTTTTTTTTACTCAGAATCGTTCTTTGTAGCCAACAACAAGCCACGCAAGACACCCTCTCCGTACGGCAGCAGTGAGAAGCTAGATAAGGGAAGCCACAAGCCATCTGGTGGCAGACGTGATGTGAGCGATAGCTCTAAACCAGGTCAGTGAAACATCACCCAGGTGACAATTTCCACTCAAAACTAGTACAATTGGTTCAACTGGTTTCAACTGGACCAGTTGAATTGGCGATTGATGACTGGCTTTGAACTAGTTTTACTGGTGTTGAACTGGTACAAACTGGTTCAACCAGTTCAACCATGTCAAACCCAATTAAACCAGTTTAAAAAAGGGAAAAACTAGTTGAAAAGCGACAATCACCAATTTCCCGCCAATTTGGTTCCCGCCGCTGTAAAGATAATAGCTGATGCTGGAAGAACCTGAAACAGTCTACAGCTCAGCTCAGTTATGTTGCTTTGGACTACATTTTTTTGAGCGAGGGCTATCAATCATCAGGACATTTGCTTAGTGTTCGCCCGATGGAAATATTATCTTCCTTTAATAATTTATCTTGTTCTTTTTTTGAAAATCATTTTGAAATGTTTTTAATAATATTTTTTGCTTAAATTACACTCTTGAGTCATACAAAAAGTGTGAAGCCCCCGCAAAAAAAATGAATTATCCACACAACAAGGCAGAATGTCAATGCTTTCATAAGTTCTGATGCGGGTTTTAGTAGACATCGTGATAAGCAAGTATGTATTAAATGAAATTATGAGTTTAAACCTACCTGTCACTTCAAGGGAACTATTCTTTAATGTTTATGTTTACGACAAAAAAAAGCTATCCGCATTGTCTTCCGTTGTCATTTTCTCTTATCAAATTTTTGATTTTTCAATATGATTAAAAAAATGATATTGATGATATTGATATCACATTGATATCGAGTAATATTGATATATCAACGGACACTATGGAAATGTCCAAACAGAATTAATCCTAGCCCTGCCATTTAACACATAGTCTAAGTATCACCCGTTCTCCACAGAGCCCTATCTAGCTCCGGTCGAACGTCTGACATCTCCTGACATGCAAATTTATGCAAGCCACACGCCAGCCAATCGGAGTTGTTTGGTAATTCGAATGCAGTGTTTTGTAATACAACAACAGCTGGGAGCGCATTCGCGTAACATGATACCGAGCGCCAGGCGCCGTGACAGTTTCTTTTTAATACATGTCTATGATGCGCAACGGGTGAATGACCGAAGACCCGATTGGCCTATAGAAAGCGCCTGCTGATTGGTCAAAATCTAGGAAGTCAAGAGGCGGGGTCTTGCCTATATAATCAGCAAATCTGTTGACGCAAAATAGACCACAGCTCTTATTACATAGACTATTTAACACAGTGCATCAGATTGCTGCATTGAGCCATCAGCAACAGTGCATATTATATGGCCGGATCCTAGACAGTGGGAGCTAGTCCCATTGAACAAAGCCACTTGTATCTTGCTGCAGTTGGCAACTACAGATCTGAGACAGTTGAGCCTATGGAATTATTGACTTGGTGGATCTTGTTACACGGTGTGTTGTTGCATTAGACAGGGTTTTAGACAAAATATTGTTAATGCTGTATTTCTTTGTCTGATGCTAGAATATCAGGATTTGTACACAAAGGAGCCATCCCCAAGCCTGCCATCGACGGCGAAAAACAAGGGAAAGAAACCCTCAGAACCGTTCTGGGCAGCCAAGAACAAGCCACGTAAGACACCCTCTCCGTATGGTAGCAGCGAGAAACTTGATAAGGGAAGCCACAAGCCATCTGGTGGCAGACGTGATGTGAGCGATAGCTATAACCCAGGTCAGTGAAACATCACCCAGGTGAAAATTCCACTCAAAACTAGTTCAACTGGTTCAACTGGTTTCAACTAGACCAGTTGAATTGGCGATTGATGTCTAGCTTTGAACTAGTTTTACTGGTGTTGAACTGGTACAAACCGGTTCAACCAATTCAACCATGTCAAAACCAATTAAACCAGTTTCAAAAAGGTAAACTAGTTCATAAGCAATCACCAATTTCCAGTGCAACTGGTTTCAACTGTCATTTTTGCTTGGGCAGGATATTTTTTAACTTGCTTTTTTTTTTTTACACAGAATCGTTCTTTGGCAGCAGTGAGAAGCTAGGTAAGGGAAGCCACAAGCCATCTGGTGGCAGACGTGATGTGAGCGATAGCTATAACCCAGGTCAGTGAAACACCATGGAAAAGTTTTAACTTGTATTTTTTTTACCCGAGGCTCTTTGAGGTATTATATTTGCGTTTAATAAAATCCTAGTTTTCATTACCATAAATTATAATAACAATACACTGTGAACCGGAAATGTCAAAACACTTTTGTTTCTGACTGAATGCCTGAAACATCAACAATGGCGATTATGTTTCAGACATTTGGTCACTATTTGTCACTAACAGGTTTCTTGATATAGGCTTACATTTCAGATATTTTGAGGTGAACAGAATGTCTGAAAAGTGAGTGGTTTTAACAGGTTTAGGTTTCAGACCATCAAAAAAGTCTGAAATGTAAGAAGAGATTAAAAAATGTCTGAAACAGCAACCAAATGTCTCAAATATAATCCCCCACAAATCTCAGACATTTTGTCCCGAACAAAAGCAATTTCAGACACTTAGTCACTATTTCAGAATTTGTTTGAATCCCTTACGTTTGATGGTCTGAAACGTAAGCCCATACAAAAATTGGCGTGTCAGTCACCTGAAAATTTCTGAAACCTAGCAGGTTTCTTGATACAGGCTTACATTTTTCGATATTTTTGAAATGTATATAAGAGGAGTTGAAAAAATGTCTGAAACAGTAACCAAATGTCTAAAATATCATTCCCATCAGACATTTAGTCCGGAACAAAAGTGTTTCAGACCATTCTGGTTCATAGTGATTATAACAATTTTCAATTTCCTTACATTCAAGTAATCAACTGAAATATCAGTGGGACACATTTCTTCATCCTTGGGAGACTTCTCTCCTTTATTTTCATAAGGAATTTTCACGTTCTATTGCATGTGTACCTACATGTAGCCTGCACATATTCTTCATGTTTTTGTATCATTGTCAGCATCCAAAGCTCACAAGACAGATACTTGTCAGGATACATCAGAAGAACTTCAATTTGCTTCAGGCCATTAGTCTGGCATCCAGTCAACTCTGCTTGGTAACACTAGATGGCTCTTTGAGAACACTCATGAGAGCTCTTGTGTGCTCGGTACATGAACGTTGTAGTCAAGTCCATCAGATAGCCTCACAAGTCCAGCAAAAGTCCTCCTCCAAGTCAAGTCAGAAGATATTCTAGTGAACTATGACAAAAGCATTCCTTTTTTATTGTTCACCACATGTTACCTATGACTGGACTTGCGATTTAGTTTTGCCCAGACTTGAGACGGACTTGTATTGGACTTGACTACAACACGGCAAATGCACAGAGACACTTGACATGCATAGTTGATGGGAAACCACTTCTGTTGAACTTTACTTCTGTTTTCTTGAAACTCAAACTTCACATCCTGGTCACTGAGATTTTTGTAGACAAACTTGCAGGGTTCACATGAGACAATGTTTTTCAACAGAATGTGCAAAAATGTTGGTTTTTTTATAACATGGGCACTGTTTAAACAAATAGGACATGAACTCAATTACAGTCAGCTGCTTTATTTATAAAACAGATTTTCTTGAGGAGGATGTGGTTGAAGAAGTTGTGAAGACAATTTGCAAGGACTGGAGGACAGTTGGCTTTTCTCTATATCTGAGAAGAGAAGAAATGGACAGAATTGCAGCAGACTGTGAAACGGAGAAAGAACGCACAGCGGAAATGCTGAGAGCCTGGCAGAGGAAAGGAACTGGATATGATAATATTTCCCGACTGGCTGATGCTTGTCGGAGATGTAACTTCAGTGAACTTGCCAATAAGTTGGATCAAGGTAATAAATACCCAGGTTCACAAGTATATGTACCATTATGAAATATTCATAAACACCGGAGACAGTTTACCCAATCCTGTCGGTTGAGAGCCCTGTCGTGTGGGTGGTTTTAAACTACTGGTACTACTACTACTGCGTTCAGCACTACATCGCGCAGTGCTCGCTGCATGAGCCGATTTCCATATAAGGAGATATTTTAGCACTATGTGCGTGATGAGGCATTTATACTGTACACATGGCAAGAGGGGTTTTTCACAAAGCATGCAGTAAAATTTCCCTCAGTGGTCTTAGAAATAGACTGAGTACCATGCTGCATTACAAAAATGTACACATCGAATCATTGCTTTTTGGGGGAAAAAATGATAATATTTTCTAATCTTAAAAATGATTAATCTAAATTTAACTCTTATAAAAAAAAAACACACCATGGTTCGAAAATTACATCGGTTACGTGGAAGTAAAATGTATCAGATTTTCGCGAAAGGTATTAAAAAAACAGCAGAGCAAAATAAAGGCTCTGCGCATTTGCAATTAAATTGCTCCAGAGCAAGGAACATAGATAAGTATAATACGTGCAAATGATTAGACGCAACACACAGATGCGACGGTCGCGAAAGTCCATCACCGTTTCGGTGATCACATTAAATGCCTCTTTGGCATTCCTGTTTCGCCAAAAGCGGCATTTAATTGGTGATGGACTTTCGCGATCGGTGATGGTCTTTCGCAATCGGTGATCAAAGCTGCGATGACCAGTCGTTGAGTAAAAGTCCATCACCGATTGCGAAAGTCCATCACCGATCGTGAATATGCATCACCAGTAAAAGTCCATCACCGATTGCGAAAGTCCATCACCGATCGTGAATACGCATCACCAGTAAAAGTCCATCACCGATCTCAAAAGTCCATCACCGATCGTGAATATGCATCACTGATTGCAAAAGTGTATCACCGATTCGATGATCACATTAAATGCCTCTTTGGCGTTCCATAGTTGTTGTGTCTGTTTTTAGACAGACAGAATTTATGTACTAATTTTCCATTTGAATATACACTCGAGTAGCTCCGAATAACAGCAAAAGTAAAGTGACATTCATTGAAATATTTATATTGAAGATTTACTGCTATTAGGAACAAGGTCAGTAATACTCTAATAATACCATTTTTTTCTTTTTTTAAAACTTTTTGAGCCAGGGTGAGGACAGGCACTGTTAAAATCTAGATGAAACTCTGGGGAGTTGAGGTTGGCTTGGAATAAGCCTCCGTTCTGATGATGTCACACTTGTTTATGTGTGCGCATTTCTATAGGAGGCTGGTGGAGGCCAGACGGTTCGTAGCTCCATAGAAAAGCACACTTGTAAACAAAGTTTGACGTCATCAGTTCCTTAACCAAAAGGCCAAAATGGAGGCCATTTTTCTCTGGAAATTAATTACATGTACCTGGTTTACAGGTATCAATATTCATGATGAAGAAAACATGATTCCAAATGACTGCGAAGGTCAATCAATGACTTGCATGGAAAGTTGCTTCAAATTGATTAAAACATCCAGCCTAATTTGATTTCAGGAAAAATTTAGATTGGCATGACTGCTAAACACCTGTCTGAAACGGTCTGAAAGCTTTTGGTTTAGATAATATTGTTGTGGGCTGTCAATACAAGTGGTGGCATTTAAACTATGACAAATAAATCCCTTTGCATTGTTGGACAGGCTTGGATGAGACATTGCTGTGTAAGATAGCCAGTGACATACCTCCGGAGAAAGCCAGAGTTTTTGGCATGTTCCTGAATTTCTCTGATGAAGAAATGGATCTGTTTGAGGTTGAGACACCACACCCGCTGCCCCGTCTACGCTTCATGCTGGCCAAATGGCGGACCAGGCAGTCTCATAACTCAGACAAGATTATGCTGTTGAGTAACGCATTGCAGAGCTGTGGGCTCAGACAGTTGGCGCTGGAGGTTGCCAGAGGTGAGCTAGAATGAAAAACCAAAAAATTCACCTTTCCGTGGATTTATATTGAAGATTTACTGCTATTTAGGAGTTTGGAGGCCCCTAAACCAGAGGTCCCAAGCCCCATTGGTTTTGGTAGTTGCTTAAAATAGCAAAATGCCTCGTGTAATGCTGCCCTAACTTACTTTTTTCCTTTTAAGGCCTGGATGATGACATCATGCTCTCGTTTGCCGTCCATATCGGCCACAACTGGAAGATTCTCGCAACAACTCTTCATTTAGATGTCAACGTCATCAAGCAGTTGGCAGATTTTTCTGAGGACAAGCAGCCCTATCAGATGCTGATGTTGTGGCGGAGGAGACAGGATCGCAGTGTGGACGTGCTAGGGGCCCTGGCCAAGGGACTACGGGACAGTGGGCTCCCTGATCTAGCATATGACCTGGTGCAAGGTACATGCGTATGGGCTCACGCTTATGGGACAAGCCATGTCCAAGTACTGGTTCGCACGCGTGCATTGCAAAGTACATGTACACATGACTTATTTTATTCTGAATATGCACAAAGTTATGGCTCTTTGTGTGAATATCTCCTAGTGATCTCCCCTAACTTTCCTTTTCTTTCCATTTTGAGGGGGTGATTGTTCAAGGACCCCAATTAATTATCTTCCAGTAAGCTTGAATCCTTGATCCTGACTGGTCGATCCGTGGCAACAAGACGTGTTGCTTACAACTATGTAGCACGGCTACGGTCCACACCGAACACTGCATATTGTGCTATTTTAAGATGTTCGCACCATTCTTCGCAACACGCAAGTGTAACACCATAACCGCTGAAAAGTTCTGTCTTTGCTGTGCGTCAAGTTTGCTTGAGCATAAATTTGTTGTCCCACTCACACTCGTGGAATGTGGAAAATGTAATGTGTCTGCGTCCGACATACCACTCGGCCCAGACACAGATACACAACATTATTCCGTGTTCCATTCGAGCTTGTGGAATAGCTGGGTGGCATGGGCGGCTTGTGCGTAAAGCGTTCGCCTCTCACCAAGGTGACCACGGTTCGAATCCTGGCCGCGGATCGCATGTGAGCAGAGTTGTGCGTTGGTTCTCTCCTGTGCCACGAGGGTTTTTCTCTGTGAATTGACTTTAGATTTACTTATGCCTGGACTTGTCACCAGAGTTTCTGATGGACTTGACTGCAACACCGATTGTATAAATTCAAACATTGGTAACTTCTATCCATAAACTAACCAAGACTGCTTTATCTTGGCATTTTACAATTAGGCCTATAATGTCCAAATATGAGGGAATTTGGAGGATTTAGTTGTGTCGGAATTACTGTTTTGTCTTTTTTAACATCTTCACCATGTAAACCACATTAACCACAAATTGGCTTTGTATGTTTGTTTATGTGATGCGGCAGGAGTCACTGATGAAATGCTCGGCAAGTTAGCCGTAATGATAGGAGACAAGTGGGAGGCCGTAGCTCAGTTTCTGGGATTCAACGAGGAGGAACTCAAGGAACTCAAGAGTGACAGGAATGCTGAAACTGTCACCATCACCAACATGCTGACAAAGTGGAGGGAGCGCCATGACTACACCAGGGACCGGTTTGGCTTTCTCATGGAGGCACTGAGGGCCTGCGGCCTGGGCAACATCGCCGAGTCATTCGAAGAAGATAGACGTAGACTGGAGCAGTCTAAGAAGGTTGCTCCTAGTGCGAAGACGGAAGAACACCCTGGATATGCCAAAGACAAAGGTAAACTTTCTTTAGCTTGTGTTTATAATGAATTATTAATGATTTAATATCATTTGTCAGAATTCTTGTCAGAAAACTTAATCAAATTATTTGCTCAACATCATCATTATCAGCCTTAATCATCCCACTGCTTGGCAAAGGTCTCTGTCATTGCAAGCAAGCCAAGGCCGTAGGAAGCGGTACGGCAGGTACGGCTATAGCCGTACCAATAATAACAGGCCTATATTTTTTTTAAATGTATACAAGGCCTTGCATGGCCCCAAGGGTGGATCAGACTTGTACTTGTGTTTTCTTAAAAAGAAGTTTTCTAAATGAAAAAAATAGCAAGGAAGAACCGGTTTTGTGCAAGCAAAATTCAGGGAATAATCCGTTGAAGTTAATATCTTGTTGAAAAATTCCAAAATCATTCAAAGAAAGTAATTACCGCCTTGAATCAGAGTTTATGAAGGGACGGAAAGTGGGATTTGCTATCAACAAGGCTGGGATGTGAATCAAATTGGAGGACGAGAGACTCTGCGAGCTGATGTATTTTTTTAGAAAGAGAAAAAAACTTAACAAATATGATCGGCAGTTCAATCATGTACACACACTGGTATCCATACAGGTGAATTAAGTCTTAAATATTCGGAAATCTTCCCTACAAGCTGGTTGCAAAAAAAAAAAGTTTTTAAAAAAATACATCAGCCCGCAAAGCCTCTTGTCCTGCAATTTGGGGGGGGGGGTATATAACCCCCTAAAAGGTCAACACGTGTTTTTCACCGGACACTTGGCCTCCGTAAAATCAAATAGTGTGGGGGGGGGGGGGGGGGGGGCTGGTACCATCTTCCAACATAGGGCACGCTCTTCAAAACTGATGAATATATGCTAACTATGCATTATGTGCCCCTGTGCCCCTTTTCAGGGCGTATTGTATGGGTTTTGGGGGCTTTGTTATCATATTCCTCGTTTATATCAAAACTGTCTATACCATTATTGGAAAATGGTTACTTCTAAGGAATAGAAAGATACTTTAAGGGCATTTTTTTTATCTCGAAGGGGCACTTTTATGCTCGAGGCGAGGGGGCACATTTATGGACGCAAAAGGGGCACTTGGGAAAATTTTGGGGGGGGGCAATTCAATTGATCCTGGACTTATTGCATAAATGTATAAATAGTTATCTCTGATACATATGTCTCTTCCAGGCTGCTGTCCTCATTTTCACAACCAACACCAACATCTTGACTGACGTCTCCCTCTCTTACCGTTTGCCATATAGTGCTTGCCATTCTGTTGTGAGTCAGCTCCATCTTTCATCCTCTTTTCTTGCCAGGTGTCCTGTTCATCTCCATTTATTCTTTTTTGCTGTAACCATCACCTCAATCACATCAGCTACTTGTTATTTATTTAATTTTTCCAATTGATATTTCATAAGAAATTCTGTCTGTAGATATGAATACATTTATTCAAGTTGTATTGATTCATATTTTAACGTTTCAAGCAACTTGTATGAACTTTTACATTATTTTTTTCATGTGCGTTTTGACAAAAATGGTAAGATGAAATAGGAAAATATGAAAACTTCACATATTGCAGGATTAAGAATTAACAAATGAAAACAAACTTCAAACGAAACAAGTGGAGGTGCTGTTTTTAAACTTGCGTCACATTTTTTGTTGGTATTGTAGATCGTTTGGAACGAAACCTCGACAGAGAAATCCTGGTGAAAGTCTCCCAGCACGTTAACTTCAGGGAGTTGTGTAGGGTCATTGATTTCCCCACAGAAGATGCAATTTACATTAAAAAGTCCTACCGGCGAAATGAGCAGAGAGTTTTCCAAGTGCTGGACAGTTGGAAACGCCGCGGGGAGGGAGGAAATCGAAGCATGAGTGAACTGCTTCAAGTCCTAGCTCAACTGGGATGCAAACCGGCTGTCATTGATGAAATCATGAGGAAAGATGGTAAGTTTTTATACAAGTCTTCTTCACTAGACCAAGGTTATGTATGTTGTGCATGACTGCAAGATTAAAGATGTGCTGTCGTAGCTCTTCAACAATTTCAGGATTTTTTTCGTCATGATGAATTTTATTACTGGAATATTTCAATAAAAAAAACCGAGACAATTTATCTTCAGTTATTGGCGTCAGATAAAAGAAACTTTCGGCAAATCCCTGATTTGTTTTTCTCTCTGATAATCTTTGGCAGCTGCCGATGACAAGGAGGAAGTCAATCCAATGAAGCAACACCCAGCAGAGTACACCACCATCATCTTCCCCTCCCTGACTGACGAACCCCAGGACGAACCCTGTAACCCTGACCTCGAGGTCAACTCTATGGTTGAGGTGAAGCCCTCGGATAAGACCCTGTTTGGGGTCATACGCTGGATAGGTGTGCTGGTAGGAAGCAAGAGTAACAAGCCTGTTGCCGGCATTGAACTGGTAGGTGGAAGAACATGACCTCAGCCCGCCATTGTGAAAATTATGTTGTCCGACTTTATTCAAAATCATATGGCAACTCTAACAATTCTGTCACTAGTAAAGTAGAATTCATTTACTTCAAACAAGAAGCTGTGAGTGTCTTGTATCAACCTTGATTAGATATGTTATAACAGGCTCAACGGCAATCACGATTTGCTGGTGAAATCGGTAGTTTTCAGTCTTAAGTCGCTACACCATAAGGTACGCCACCTAAAATGATTGCGCAAGTTATGCCATAGCTTATTGCAAAAGTCGCTGACTTACGCACTATGAGACTTTCATGAATGGTTTCATAAGTGAAATTTTGCGCAACATACGCAATAAATTGTGGCGCAAGCGGAGTTGCGCCATTGCGTAAAGTTTCATGAAATCAGCTGCAGGACCCCATTTGACAGAGCTGTTAAGCAGGAAAAATTTGCTTGCCAAATCTTAAGTTGTAACAAAATATTTACTGGGAACCAGTCAAAAGCAATATACAAAGCGTGGCATTTTGGCTGGTAACCAGTTTCTGCTAAGCAAATGGTTTCTTCAGCAAGCTCATTTCTGTGCTGAGCTCCATGAAATTTACCCCTTACTTAAAATTTTCAGCCCAAATTTTTCAAAGTCCAACAAGGGTTTCAAGGATTTTGTAGGGTAAAGGAAGGTATTTGAGCTCAGCTACTAATACTTTTCATGATGCCTGATGTCCCTTGAAAGTTTATGAAGAAAAAAACTGTTCCATCAGCATTGGCCTGACGATTGTGGAGGATTCACTAAGGAAGTTATAAAAATGTGCAGATGAATTTGGAAGTGTAAACATGTTTTACTTATATGATTTCTAATTGGTTCAAAGTTTCTTATTGTACTGTTGTTTATGTTTTCTAAATGAAAAAAAGGAGTCTTCGATTGACCATGGAGCGACAGATGGCACTTTCAACAAGCAGCACTACTTCCAGTGTGAGCCTAACAAGGCCATATTTGTCTACTTATCCAAATGCCGACCCGATTCTCGCGTCCTGTCTCAGGCGCAGACTTTAAGTTCGACGAAGCGCCAGACTAGCCAAGGTGGGTATTTTCCTGCTAACTCTGCCTTAATGTACATGTATATGGTCTTCAGCCTAATAACAAAAGTGGTCTCACGCAAATGGACAGACCATATGCATGGAGATGAAGTTAGAGGGCTATGGTTTTGTAGCACCATGCTAAGATAGGCATCATTGTTAATGTGACATGCCATTTCATACGTCCTCTTGCCTAGCGCCCTCGCTTGATTTTATTATGTATTCCTCTAGAGCCCCCAGCCAAGCCAACATTCCTTAGGACCCCCCACTTGTCCACTAGTTCTGATTACCTCATTCCCACCATAGAGCCTGGACAGTGAACAGCTCTGTGGACCGCTCAGCTATTGTTTCCATAATTGACTCAAGATCAGAGTTTTATGTATTCCTCCCATTGAGGATTGCAAGAAGCTAGGCTAGGGTAAGTGTCTATTTTATTTTGTGTTCTTTAAGAATTCCAGAAGTCATGTTTAATGGTTTAATTATTATCAAGTTACATGTATCTACTTTCTCACTGATGCTTTCTTCAGAGGTTAGAAGTTGTTTTAGTCATACATTATCTACTACTAGTTCTCTTAGAAATGTATAGAATTGCTTTTCCTATCATTTATTATTATTTGTTATTTTCTGATTGATAGTTTTGCTGAGAAATAAGTATCTTTAGTTCCCTTTTTGTTTGACTTAGTTTAGTGGCCAAACTTTCCCATGCTTTGCAGTGGATTGCCACCTGTTAAACATCACCACTGTGGAATGTTGCTTGCCTCTCTGGCCAGAGTAGAAATCCCCTTAGGCCTTATGCTGAGTGTAATGCTAGTGGTTAGGAAGTGAACATATCGATAGTCCCTATTGCTACACAGCATTGTTTTATCGATAGTGCCTCCAGTGTACTGTGGTTATGTTGGGTCTGCTCAAGCAATTGATATGTGATCACTGCAACATTGCCTGGCACTAGATGGACCACTGTTTATAAACTGCCCCTGATAAGAGTGTACAGGTTTTCCTATGTTTTGTCAGAGTAAAGCTAATTATGTATTCGCTCTGTTCTGGAAAAGTACATGTACTAGCAAGCTTTTGTTTTTCTTTATTCAAGTACCAGACTGTTTAGCCTTGGATAGACGCTTTAGTTTTATGATTTACTTTTTTAGTATTTACTCCTCTTATTTCTTAGGTTTGATACAAAACATTTAGAGTTTATTATTCTTAGTTTGTTTTGATTAAGATTTCACTCACTTACTAATATTCTTTGACTCAGTACAAAACCATTTTATGCAGTTTAGCTGAGGTTGTGTTGTATACTTTTAAGAGTTTAAGTCTAAAGCAATCACTTGCCTTGTTCATTCTTTGGACCAACATAACTTAACTTTCTGTTGACAGTTAACAGCATATTCTTCCTAGTTAGAGTTTAACTTTCTTTCTTTATATTATTATGCATTTTCTTATTTGTGAATTCTTTGTTCTTTCTCACGAAGCAATGTATTTACAAAGAATTGTATTTTATATCTTTTCAGGGTTTTTACATGCAGACACCATATTAAAGAACACACACCAGTCAGAGTATGCTTGTCTCCATTGCATGATTTCTGACGGTCACATTTGGCGTCGTAGACAGGATATGTGTGTTGACAACTGCAGCCCCTAGCCTAGGAGGAGGTTTTTTTTCTCGCCTAGTCCTACCACTGACCTACAATGGAGGGGACCGACGCTCTGGAGAAGCTGCAAGCAGAGCTCGAGGCCGTAAAGAAGGCGCTACAAAAGCAGCAAGAAGAGAAATCTAACGTTGCAAGTAGCAGCTCCTCTGGTTGGGTAGCAGCTCCAACGCAACAAAAGCAGATTTATGTTGCGTCGGGACGAAGGTTGGAACGCTTCAGAGGAATTCCAGAGAAGTCCAGTGACCCTACCATTGAAGAGTGGGTGAGCGACGTGAGGTGTCAGTTAGCAGCAAGACAGCTGAAAGAGGACGAGAGTGGAGCTTTCATCCTCGATCATCTTGCTGGAAAGGCACGCCAGGAGATTCTTGGAAGGGGTGATGCAGTCACCCACCCAGAGGAAATCTTCCAAATCCTGCTTAAGGTTTTTGGCGATGGTGATACCCTTCCCCAACTTCAGCAGAGGTTTTTCTCGTACAAACAGGCATCCAACGAGGACCTCCTGACATGCTCCCTGGAGCTAGTCAAGCTTTTCACCAGAATGTCAAAGCTTGACCCTTCAATCGAGGCAACGAAGGGAAGGACCCTGAAGGGACGGCTGGCAGAGGCAGTTCGTGATGAAGGTCTACAGCGAGAACTGCGTCGGCTTAATATTGAGGCACCTACCCTGTCGTTCTTTGATGTCAGAGACCGCGCCATTGAGTGGCTGGGTTGCAGACAAGGCAATCGCCACAAGGAAGCGACGGTGCAAGAGGTCAAGGCAGCGGATGACGCTGGAGGTCTGCAGTCCCTCCTCAGGAAGCAGAGCGAACAACTGCAGAAACAGCAACAACAGATAGATGCCCTCATTAAGGCATTCAGTGAGACTCCAAAGAGCTGGAGAAACCAAGGCCCCCGAAGGTGCTTCAACTGCCGTTCAACAGGGCACCTTAGGCGCCAATGCCCCTATCCACCACAGTCCCCGGTGGGTGGCTCTTCTTCAGCCAGGCAACAGTTTGTTCCTGAGCAGTCTGCCAATCAGCAGAGCATGTACAACCCCCGTGCACAGCAATTTGTTTCTGAGCAGTTTGCCAATCAGCAGAGCGTGTACAAACCCCCTGCACAGCAATTTGTCACCGAGCAGTCCGCCAATCAGCAACTTGGACCCCAGCAGCCAAACCCCCAGATGCCGACCCCCAGACAGCCATTAAACTAGCAAGGCCTGCCATTATGAGCCAAACGACAGGCCATCAGATTTCATCAAGAGAGAGTGGCTCAATTATTGAGAGGGCAGTAGGGAACTGTCCAGTGGCACGTGTGAGAATTGGAGGCACAGAGGTGACATGTCTACTTGACACAGGAGCACAGGTTTCGACATTGACTGAGTCTTTCTTCAAAGAGAACTTCTCCCAGGAAGACTTAATCGACATACATTCCCTGCTCCACATCTCAGGTGCCCAGGGTGCCGAAATCCCCTACGTAGGATATGTTGAGCTGCCCCTTCGAGCATTGGGTCAGACCTTTGTCCAAGCAGGTTTCTTGATCGTAAAGGATCCGGTGAGCAAACCAATGGCTGAGCGTAAACAACAAGTACCTGGAGTAATTGGATCGAACATCTTCAGGGACATGAGGCAAATTCTTCAGAAGGTCATTGGACCAGGGTTCCTCCAAAGCTTGAGTAGCAGTTCCGGAGGAGCAGAGTGGGCTCACGTCCTTGCCCTGTATGAGGAGGTGAGGAGTGCAGCACTGCAGCCAGACGTCCCAGGAAATGTTCGTATTAGCGGGCAGAAGCCCATTTTAGTGCCTGCCAACTCTCTGCTCGTTGTCACATGTTCAGTTAAGCCTACATCTGGCAATACTTATCAAGCTATGGTAGAACAGTTAGATGTTCACACCAAGCATCTTCCGCAGGGTTTGATGGTCGCCCCAGCTCTTGTCAGTGTTGATAAGAGTGGCACAATTCCTGTACAAGTAGCCAATTTCAATGAAGATGATGTCTACTTACAACCTAGAACCCCAGTTGCCGTAATCTCTAAAGCTAACCCCGAGTATGGCACCTCCCACATCCTTGCATCCCAATCTGAAGTCCATGTGCAGCATGAATCAGCAAACAATGACATTTCATCCCAGCTGATGGCAAGGATTAATGTGGGTGATGACATCGATGACAAGCAACGGCAAGATTTGAGAGAGTTAATCAACAGATATAGCGAGGTCTTCAGTGAGGATGATGATGATATTGGGTACTGCGGTAAAATTGAGCACCGGATCATCACCACTGATGACATACCAGTCAAGGTCCCACACAGACGCATCCCTCCCCACCTATGGCCTGAAGTGAGAGACCACATCGAAGCATCCCTGAATCGGGGCATCATACGAGAGTCCTCAAGTCCATATGCCTCGCCTGTGGTCCTTGTCCGGAAACATGATGGTAAGCTGAGGATGTGTGTTGACTACAGAGCGCTCAATGCAAAGACACATAAGGATGCGTACCCGCTTCCAAGAATCGATGAAGCGCTTGATGCACTTAACGGAGCCAAGTACTTCTGTAGTCTGGACCTCGCTCATGGCTTTTACCAAATTCCAGTCGAAGAGAGAGACATCGAAAAGACAGCGTTTCGTGTTGGCACAGGTGGTTTATACGAGTTCACACGTATGCCATTTGGCCTATGCAATGCTCCCGCCACCTTCATGCGCGTTATGGACAAGGCCTTCGGTGATAAGAACTTCCAGTCCCTCATAGTTTACCTTGATGATATCCTAGTGTTTGGCCAAACCTTCGAGGAGACCTTAGGACGGCTACAGATGGTCCTTCACAGACTTCAACAGTTTGGCTTGAAGGTAAAGCCAGAGAAGTGCCATTGGTTTGCAGCAAAGCTTCGGTACCTGGGACATGAAATCTCAGCAGATGGCATTTCACCAGACCCAGAGAAAGTCAGAGCTGTCACCGAATGGAAGCGGCCGTCAACAGAAGGAGAGCTCCGAAGTTTTCTTGGCCTGGCAAGCTATTATCGTCGCTTTGTCCCAGGGTTTGCTATGGTGGCGGCTCCACTCCATGCCTTGCTAGGTGGCACCGTGAAGAAGAAAGGCAAGAGGAAAGCATCTACAGCTGTGTTAATATCTGACCCTTGGGGTGAGACATGCGAGACGTCCTTCAAACAGCTTAAAGAACTCCTGACAAGTTCTCCACTATTGGGTTACCCGAACTTTGTACGTCCATTCATTTTGGAAGTGGATGCCAGCCACCACGGTCTTGGCGCAGTTCTTTCACAAGAACAGGAGAAGGGTCGTGTAGTCCTTGGATACGCAAGTAGAGGCCTCAGAGGAAGTGAGAAAAACATGGACAACTACAGTAACATGAAGCTGGAGCTACTGGCATTGAGATGGGCCATCACGGTGAAGTTCCGTGACCTTCTGCTGGGAGCCGATTTTGTTGTTTATACCGACAACAATCCCCTCAGCTATCTTCAGTCTAATTCCAAGTTGGGCGCTACCGAAACACGATGGGCTGCTGAACTAGCACAGTTCAGATTCACAATCAAGTACAGGTCTGGACGCAGTAACCAAAATGCAGATGCCCTGAGCAGAAAGGTTACACACAGCAAAGAGCCACTGACTGCACGGTTTGAGGAGACTACTGCCGACACAGCACCTCACCTCAAACCCTGCACAACAAATGTTCCTAATGACTTAAAAGCAGCCATACAGAACACCATCACTGAAGTTGGTTTGAATGAAGTCCGCAGCAGCGCAGATGTAGCCCCGCTCACAGCAATGTCCACAATCCCATCTATCCCTAGTGAGGACATGGCAGCAATGCAGAGGGCAGATAATGACATCAGTCGACTATGGCACTACTGGGAGCGGAAGCAGAAGCCCTCCCTCCGTCAATTGATGAAAGAGACACGTACTACTCGTAAACTGCTTCGTCTGTGGGACCGTCTTACAGAACAGAACAACGTACTGTATAAGCAGAAGGTCGAGAATGGTTCAACGGTACGCCAGCTTCTCCTTCCTAGTGCCCTCAGACAAAAGGTGCTTCAAGCTCTTCATGACGAGGCTGGACACCAAGGTGTAGAGAGGACAACAAAGCTCGCCCAGTCTCGGTGCTACTGGCCTGGAATGTCCACGGACATTGAGACCCACTGCAGGCATTGTCAAAGATGCACTTTGGCGAAAGCTGGTAGGAAACTTCACCCTACTATGGGGTCGCTCATTGCGAAGAAGCCGCTGGAAGTCTTAGCTATGGACTTTACAGTCCTCGAACCAGGCACAAACAACATCGAGAATGTTCTGGTGCTGACAGATGTGTTTACCAAGTTCACGCAAGCAGTACCTTGCAGGGATCAGAAAGCGAAGACGGTTGCCCGTGTCCTTGTTCGAGAATGGTTTGTTCGCTATGGTGTGCCACGGCGACTGCAAAGTGACCAAGGACGGAGCTTCGAGGGCAGAGTTATCCAAGAACTCTGTGAAATGTACGGAATTTCTAAGTCACGGACAACACCGTATCACCCAGAGGGCAACGGCCAATGTGAGAGATTCAACCGTACTCTCCATGACCGGTTGAGGACCCTTCCCCCTGCACACAAACGACGATGGCCAGAGTTCCTGCCTGAACTCCTGTATGCCTATAACACCACACCGCACTCATCAACAGGTTTCTCACCGCATTACCTCTTCTTCGGTCGAGAGCCTCGACTGCCGATAGACCATCTCCTTGGTGTGCAGAATGATAGCACTGAAGCCGACGACCATGACAATTGGGTCTCAGAGCATCGCAAGAAAATGCGGATGGCATATGACATGGCCTTGGAGAAGATGGAGAAAGAGGCAGCAAGGAGAAAGGCAAGGCATGACCAGAATGCCGACGACACCGACCTACCGATGGGAGCAACGGTCTTCCTCCGAAACCGTGACATGAGGGGACGCCACAAGATTAGTGATGTGTGGGGATCCATTCCTTACAAGGTGGTGGGTAGGCCTAACCCAACTGGGCATGTCTATATGGTTGCTGCACTTGATGGAGATGGGGAAAAGACGTTGAATAGGAGAGATCTGCTCGAGGCACAGGCTTGGGCTGTGCAGGATGTTGTGCAAGATGCTGCACAAGATGTAGCCCCACAGCGTGATAGGCCATTGCGTCCTGTCATCGACACCCCAACGTCATCTGAAGAGTCTGATGATGACGATGTACTTATTTACACGGAGAGTCGAGAAGAGACAACAGAGCCCATGGTGGAAGCTACTGGTCCGGAAAAAGCAGGGGAGCACCCAGTCACACCAGCAGATCCCAAAGTAGATGCTTCAGATGAGTGCCTACCAGTTCAATCATCTTGTGCCACAGTGAGTCCGTTGGTAGAAGCAACAGTCACGTTACCAGCTGAACCAGTTATGGAAGAGCCTGAACCTGTTCTGCCAAGACGTTCTACCCGTTCCACAGCCGGACAACATTCTAATCCCCACCGTGAGCCGAAGGCAGCTGTTCAGTCCGAAATACCCGTCCAGATGCCACCAGCAGCCCCATTGATTGACCCTCAAGTACTGGCAGAGATGTCGAAGGCCCAACTGCTACTGGCACAGATGCTGGCTGGAGTTACAAAGAGCACTGTCTGATGTGATATTTCCATTACCACATGTATACTTTAGTTATTATTTTACTGTATAAGATTAGTTATAGCGTATTTACTTATTATTTTCTTTTGAGTTGTCGGGACGCCAACTTTAAAGCAGGGGAGTATGTGACATGCCATTTCATACGTCCTCTTGCCTAGCGCCCTCGCTTGATTTTATTATGTATTCCTCTAGAGCCCCCAGCCAAGCCAACATTCCTTAGGACCCCCCACTTGTCCACTAGTTCTGATTACCTCATTCCCACCATAGAGCCTGGACAGTGAACAGCTCTGTGGACCGCTCAGCTATTGTTTCCATAATTGACTCAAGATCAGAGTTTTATGTATTCCTCCCATTGAGGATTGCAAGAAGCTAGGCTAGGGTAAGTGTCTATTTTATTTTGTGTTCTTTAAGAATTCCAGAAGTCATGTTTAATGGTTTAATTATTATCAAGTTACATGTATCTACTTTCTCACTGATGCTTTCTTCAGAGGTTAGAAGTTGTTTTAGTCATACATTATCTACTACTAGTTCTCTTAGAAATGTATAGAATTGCTTTTCCTATCATTTATTATTATTTGTTATTTTCTGATTGATAGTTTTGCTGAGAAATAAGTATCTTTAGTTCCCTTTTTGTTTGACTTAGTTTAGTGGCCAAACTTTCCCATGCTTTGCAGTGGATTGCCACCTGTTAAACATCACCACTGTGGAATGTTGCTTGCCTCTCTGGCCAGAGTAGAAATCCCCTTAGGCCTTATGCTGAGTGTAATGCTAGTGGTTAGGAAGTGAACATATCGATAGTCCCTATTGCTACACAGCATTGTTTTATCGATAGTGCCTCCAGTGTACTGTGGTTATGTTGGGTCTGCTCAAGCAATTGATATGTGATCACTGCAACATTGCCTGGCACTAGATGGACCACTGTTTATAAACTGCCCCTGATAAGAGTGTACAGGTTTTCCTATGTTTTGTCAGAGTAAAGCTAATTATGTATTCGCTCTGTTCTGGAAAAGTACATGTACTAGCAAGCTTTTGTTTTTCTTTATTCAAGTACCAGACTGTTTAGCCTTGGATAGACGCTTTAGTTTTATGATTTACTTTTTTAGTATTTACTCCTCTTATTTCTTAGGTTTGATACAAAACATTTAGAGTTTATTATTCTTAGTTTGTTTTGATTAAGATTTCACTCACTTACTAATATTCTTTGACTCAGTACAAAACCATTTTATGCAGTTTAGCTGAGGTTGTGTTGTATACTTTTAAGAGTTTAAGTCTAAAGCAATCACTTGCCTTGTTCATTCTTTGGACCAACATAACTTAACTTTCTGTTGACAGTTAACAGCATATTCTTCCTAGTTAGAGTTTAACTTTCTTTCTTTATATTATTATGCATTTTCTTATTTGTGAATTCTTTGTTCTTTCTCACGAAGCAATGTATTTACAAAGAATTGTATTTTATATCTTTTCAGGGTTTTTACATGCAGACACCATATTAAAGAACACACACCAGTCAGAGTATGCTTGTCTCCATTGCATGATTTCTGACGGTCACATTAACAACTAAAAATGACAAAAAATATTATCTGATGAGACATATGCTACACCCAAGGTCTGTTTCAGAGCCCAGATACGACACTGATTTGCATCTGTTCCTTCCCCGTAATCTTAACCATCCTTTCCCACAATCTTAACCGTCCTTTCCCGCCATCTTAACCGTCCTTTCCCGTAATCTTAACCATCCTTTCCTGCAATCTTAACCATCCTTTCCCGCAATCTTAACCGTCTTTTCCCTCCATCTTAACTGTCCTTTCCCGTAATCTTAACCGTCCTTTCCCCCAATCTTAACCATCCTTTCCCGCAATCTTAACTGTCCTTCTCCGCAATCTTAACTGTCCTTCTCCGCAATCTTACCCTTCCTTTCCCGCAATCTTAACCATGCTTTCCCGCAATCTTAACCGTCCCTTCTCGTAATCTTGACCTTCCTTTCTCGCAAGCTCAACCTTCTTTTCCCGCAATCTTAACCTTCCTTTCTTACAATCTTAATCTTTGCTCTACTTATATTATTCCTTTGTAGATAAACACATGCCTGAAATACTTGATCCTGAAATATTTGAAGAAAAGAAGCATCTTGCAAAAGTTGATTGCAACAACAAAGAAGAAAAGACAGCTGAACAAAATAGTTAAAATTGGTTCTACAAAGTATTTGTATTTCTCCTAAGGGAGCTGAGATGGGCTAGGCTTGGGATGTTTTATGAACCCATTGATGAGGCTTTGAGCACCAATACTTATAGATACATGTACTATATAAAAATGCATTATTATTATTATTCCTGATTTTGTCCTAAAGATTTTGGGGGTTTCGCATCACCATTAGTGGAAGGTTTCATCGACCCCCCACTTCGCCTCAGACCGGAGTTTGTGGGCATGTGGAAGGGCATCCAGGGGGATCAGAACTCCTGCTACCTGGACTGCACACTCTTCAGTATGTTTGCCTACAACGGCGTCTTTGATCCGCTCCTGCGACACACGCAGGGCCAGGGCGATCTGCAGGAGTATGAGAAAGTCCAGAAGACTCTCAGAGAGAGCATTGCCAACCCCTTGAGGAAGTGAGTCTGATTTTGTATCAGGAAGGATGAGATGGCCGTCTGAGTAGGACGTCTGATGAAATGAACTGATGAACTGAATTTTGGTCTACTAAAGAGCTCTTTAGAAATTGGGCTGAAGGATTCTGTTTCCTTCAAGGTCCAGAGAAAAAGTGTGTATGGTTTTGGTCGAACAATGCTAAAGTTGACATAATAAGAATTTATTTACTGCCCTGGTTGTAATGTTGAACACTTTGTGCTTGATTTTGATAACAGGAATGGTTTTGTTCGAGCTGATCGTATTCTTCAGCTGAGGGAGCACCTGGATCAGTTAGGCACAACCAAGAGTCTAATGAGTGAAAAGAAAGATCCAGAGGAGTTCCTACATACCTTGCTGTCAGAGGTCTTCAAGTCTCGAACACTCCTAAAGATCAGGTGAGTTGCATTAATTGGGAGTGAATTGCATCACTGTGACCAGTTGACCATGACAACATGACTATGACAAGGTGAAGGTGATTATACAAAGGTGACTTTGACATGGCGACTGAGGTGACTGTGACAAGGTGATTGCTATGAGGTAACTGTGACAAGGTGACTGTGATGACCTGACTGTGACAAGGTGACTGTGACGTGATGACAAGGGACTGCGCAAGGTGACTGTGATGAGGTGACTATGACAAGGTGTCTATGGGGTGACAGTGACTAGGTGATTGTGAAAAGGTGCACACTTTGATGAGGTGACTGTGATGAGGTGACTGTGACAAGGTGACTGATGAGGTGATTGACAAAGTGACGTCAATGAGGTGTCTATGATGAAGTGCCTGTGACAAAGTGACTGACAAGGTGACAGTACGTGACAAAGTTATACTGTGATGAGGATACTGTAACGAGGTGACTGTGACATTGTTACTGTGATGAGGTGACTGTGACACTGTAACTGTGATGAGGTGACTGTGTGAAGATTAGACTTTGGCCAGGTTATATACTGTTTTAATGAACCACATATAAAATAAGGAGACAAACAGTCAAGCTGTTTTGGGTGCATTAATGAAGAACCATTTATTTTAAGGATACTAGGCTGGACCAAATCTAATTAAGAAATGCTACAAGGCCAAACCACATACACTGGAGTCTATATTGTAACTACATCTAAGAAATAAAAGAGAATCCTCCAAAAAGTATATCCCAACTAGATTGTGGGTAGTTGACAATAAAAAAATTGTTGAAGTCAGTGCTGCTGCGGCTTGAATCAGAATGAAGCTGATCTCACTTGCCTTCACAATATAAACCCATGTCATGCCACATTAAATCAATACTCACTTATTTCATGGAAATGGCTGCCATGAAAAGTTTATCTGTTTCCATGACTCATGAGGGAAAGTAGTGGTTGGAAACAGGATGTGGGGGACCTCCCATGTGGGGGCCATTGACCAACACTGACCATGAGTTGTGATAAGTGTTGTTTGGGCATCAAATGTATACTGTCTCCTGTAGTTCAATAAAACAAAAATCATTCTTGATTTTTTTCCAATAAGGTGACTGTGACAATTTAGGTGACTGGGACGATGTGACTGTGACTATAGGTGACTGTGACCAACTTCCTAGTAAAATAAACCTGATTGATATTGCTTAAACAAATTTCTCCCTAAGGCACGGTGCTAACAAAGAAGTGGATGAGTCCAACATTTATCAGATATTCCTAGACAAAGACGAGTCTTTCACACTCCCGACGGTAGAGCAGCTATTACTGCAGTCATTTCAGGAACATGACCTCAAACTAGTGGAGGTAAGTCAATCAAGTCATTGGCTGCCTCTTTCCTTTGTAAATGCTGGTGGAACATAAAAAGTCAGAGGCAGATCCAGCTTTGGCTGAGGGGGTATTTAGGGGCGTGTGCTACTTCTTTCTGAATGATTTTCCTATTCTTTTCAGACACCGTCATGCTTGATTGTGCAGATGCCAAGATGCGACAAAGACTACAAAATGTACAACCGCATTTTGCCATCGCTTCAGCTTGATGTCACAAATATCATTGAAGAATGTAAGTATAAAGGCTCAACTTCTGCAAACACAGGGGGATGGCCATGTTTATAGACAACAATAAAGTATTTCATTTTTGAAAAAAAAAAAATTGGGAAGCAGAATTTGATTTAAACCAGATTTTTCAACAGTAAGACTTCCCATTGTTTCTGTCTTTCTTCACGAGACACAGCTATGATAATTGAGGTTGATCACAAGTTAATGCAAGTCATCAAAACTCCATCTTAAATCACAAGTCATCCTAAAAATCTATTAAAGCTACTCAAATGCAATGTGACAACGGGCATTCCTTTGTTACTGTTTATTCCTCGTACCTACCATGAGGTGAATTTCCTTTTAATATACCCAGGGTCGTTTTTATACCAACATATTGTTTATGTTTTACACAGCCCACTGTAACATTATCTGGTTAAAAGTCATGCAATTTGCAAAACAGCAGGTGGCCAGTCCGTCCTGTTGGGACGATTACACCATGTGTACTGCACATAGAATTCAGGATTCCCATTGCTTATGCACCAATTTCAATGATAAAAAAAATGTCATTACCTTGGACATGAACAAATATGGCACTGGATATTATATTTCTGGAAAAAAATATCTGCATTTAGACCACTCAAACAGGATTTATGCAAACCATGTCATTCAGTAAAGTGATAATAATTATTTTCTGTTGGTTGTGGCCATTCAAGAGGTAATTAAACTCCTCCAGGGGGATGTTGAATTAAGAGAGAGTTGAAATCCTGGTACTGGCAAATACCTGAACAGTTATTAAAGTTCTGTAGGCCTACATGTACTTGTGTTTATGTGTCACCTAAAACAAAATTTTGGGAGACACATCATAGTCCTTCGGTAAATTCTGTATGACCATATGTCCGTACTGACCAGGACCACTTGTGGGGTACTCGTACAAAGGAACGGTAACCCACAAGTGACATCTTTAGAAAAACGGTACCCCACAAGTGGAATCTTTAGAAAAAGGGATAAATGAAATGCTCCTACCCCAAGTCCTTCCCATGATGTCGTCCGACTATGACCATATGAGCCCTGTATGTATGTTAATGTTTTGGAATTGCTCTCATTTCTGAAAAATTCGCCTGAATTCCATAAACTTGGACACAAGTGTAATTGAGTAGCAAAGATAATGTGGAATATATTTCAAGTCAAAGGTTAAAAAGGTCAACTGAGGTTAATAATGATGTAATTCACAGTTTTAGGGAAAGTCTACAACATTGTACATACTTCTGTGGATTTTGATGAAACTTAGATGCAGTGCCCCTTGGGTGGGAAGACACAATTCTTCTTCGGATTTCTGAGGTCAAAGATCAGGTCATTAGAGGTCATTGTTTAAATATGCTTCAAATGTTTTGTTGTCTACAGAATTTGATGGATTTTCATGTCACTTGCATGGATCAGTGATGTGCACAAAATTTGGCTTTTTTTTAAGAAAAAAAAAACTTTATACAGGGATCAACTGCTTAAAAAGGCGACACATGCAATCTGTGGATCACTCTAATAAAAGATATAGGGTTTCAAGGCATGGATCTCCCTTTTTTTTGACTAATGATTGACTTGAATGCCTGGATTTTCAACATTGATGCTGCAGGGTGACTCAAAAAAAGCAGATTCCAAACCCCCAAAATTGTATTTCATATTTATAAAAATATGTAGCACCAAACATAATAATGACTGGATAAAGCCAATTTTATAAGCTACCTTTAGATGAACAGAATTACTGAAATTGCTCAATCCGTTTAAAGAATATCACCATTTAAACACAATGACCCTAAAACCTCTTTTGTCCAAAAATGCGATCGTCGGCTTAATTGTCTTCAAACATCACCAGCGATAAAACCTCAGTTTAAAAGTTAAAAGTATTTCAACAAAGTCCTTTTGAAGGCCTGTCTTTTTAAAAAAGTGGATTTTATAAATCATATTGTTTGCATAACCAGGGTTGTATAATAAAGATATTGTGCACTACAGTTGTTGACGGTTGTTGAAACAAGTATTCTGTGCCATTTTCTTTGTTGTTCCAAGTTCCAAACAATCAGAATACACAATAAACTGCATTTTTTTTGGAAGAAACAGGTTTTAGGGTCATTGCATTTAAATGAAGATATCCTTTGAACGGATTGAGCGATTTCAGTATTTTTTTCATTTACAAGTAGCTTATGAAATGGCTTTCCAGTTATAATGTTTGATGCTCCATATTTTTATAAATACGAAATGTATCTTATGGGGTTTGGGTTTCGCTTTTTTTACTCACCCTGTAGGTCATTTAATAAGTGAACTCATAACATTTTACTGTTTTACATATGTGTCTATCTTTCTGACAGATCCCAGGCAGTGTATAGTGTGTGGCAACCTGGCTGTCTTTGAGTGCAGTGAGTGCAAGTCAGAGGAAGCTTTGGTGGATACCACTCATATCAAGAACTACTGCGACAGTTGCTTCAACATGGTGATGACCTTTACAGTGAATCACACTGTTAATTGCTGATGTTGTAGTCTGAGACAATAACATCAGAACATTATTGGAAATGAGGTAGCATTTGTGCATTTTGTTTGTTTGACCCAATAAAAGTGTCAAAAATCTAAAGAACGTGCATAAAAACTAACCTGATTAAGTTTTTATTTTGTGTGAATGTTGTATATTCCGAGAAAACAATATTCTGGGATCTCGATTTCAATTAAAATGTTGCTGAGTCATGTTTTGAATTGCACACGAAATCAGTGTCCAGGACACGTTCTCATTCACTCATTCAGCTACACGATGTCACGCACTTTATTTTCTTTCTGTATTTTCTTTCTTCCCACAAATCAGATGCATATAGGCACCCATCGGGAACACCACCAACCCACCTGTCACCCTCAAATCTAACTAATAGTATTTGGTGACCCCGGACTATATCTCACACCAAAATAATCAAAACTTTGGAACTTCAGTTTACCAGAAACTTATTTACAATTTATTTACAAACGATCTTGATGTCGAGAATAAGGTCTTACAGTACTTCTTCACCCTATCTTGGGTTTTGACAATTCTTTAAATAGTATCCAATTGCTTTTGTACAATGATTTGCTTCCGTTAATTTCTTGATAAACACAATACAATAATTACCAATTAAAATCACTGACCAATATGTCTTCTTCTACTTCTTTTCGATTTGAATTACAATTTTGTATATTATTTCCCCAAACAGTTCTTATTTACGAAGGGGTTCAATGGAACTCCTTTGAGTTACTTGTAACTCGCCGTTCAGCGACCCGACGGTTGATCTGGTGCTCACTGCTACTGCTAGGCTCAATGGTCCTCTGTCAGTGGAAATCCCTCAGATCATGCAAAGCGGGTCAAGCAATAGTCTGGTCAAAGGGGTCGGCCATGGTTATTGTTGGTTGCATAAACTTGAGCGAGAGTCTGCGCCCATAGGTTGAATGTTGCTACAGTACACCGACAATTCTGACCTGACGACTGGGTAAATGATGGATTTTGGCACTGAATTTTGCCAAACTGGACGAAGGGTTCGATCCTAACTGAAATTTTTAGGAATCGACCACGGGCCTGTCTCATACCAGGCCGTACCCCTAGGTCTTAAGCTGTCGGTCGGTTCACTCTCACACTGTCAAGCTCACTCTATCACAGCTCAAACAACACTAACTGATTACTCCATCACACGGACACATACAGACAAGTACCTAACCAGGACAATAACAAAGGATGGACGAACACGACAATAACCATGGCCGGTTTTACGCAACATTACATAACACGAGCACTGCATTTCGCGAATGCGGGTCAGCACCGTATAAATTATAGTATTGTTCAACACCCTTTCGTGCGCGGGACTTGGGAGAGTGCTGATTGGCTACAAGTTATCTACATATGTACATGCGTAGAGGCGCGTAGCAGGATTGATCGTGACACGACGCCCCTATTTAAGAAAAACATCACATATGTTTTCCTTCTTCACACGATCAACAGTTTACCTGGTGTCGACTGAGAAAGTCGGCTCCCACGTTGTCAGTACCCTTAATAGCTACGATACGCATTCTATATGGCTGTAGCGAGAGCGCCCAGCGCATTATGCGTGCATTTGCTACTTTAGCTTTGTTGATGTAGGCAAGCGGCTGATGGTCTGTTTCGACGATAAATGCAGTGCCATACAAGTATGGTTGATACTTTTGGATACCCCAAACCAACGCTAGGCATTCCTTTTCTATGGAAGAGTACGCTCTCTCGCGGTTCAGTAATTTCCTGCTGGCGTATGCGATAGGGAATAGAGTTCCCTCATGTTCTTGCAATAAGATGGCGCCTACCCCGAGGTCCGATGCATCTGTACGCACTACAAATTGCTTGTCAAGATCAGGTAGCATTAGAATGGGTTCTGTCGCTAGGCAACGTTTCAGTTTTTCAAACGCGAGCTGTTGACTTTTACCCCACACTATATTATTCGGTTCCTTACTCTTGGTTGTATCCGTGAGAGGTGCTGCAATGGTTGCATAGTTTGGGATAAACTTACGATAATACCCAGATAGGCCAAGAAAGGATCGCATTTGCTTCTTTGTGATCGGTCTCGACACGTTTTGGATTTTTTCGATCTTTCTTTGCTGAGGTGCCATCATACCCTTTCCGATTTTGTGCCCTAGGAACTCTATGCTGTTCATGCCGATTGAACATTTGCTGGGTCGCGCGGTTAGGCCAGCTTTGCGCAGTTTCTTGAACAGTGCTGCTATGGTTTGGACATGCGTTTCCCAACTTTGGGTATGTATTAATATGTCGTCAATGTAGTTCTCGATGTGTTCTATACCGTGTGTAAGGGATCGCATTATACGACTAAAGGTCGCCGGAGCATTTACTAGACCGAACGGCATTCTCTTAAATTGATATAAGCCACTGGGTGCAAGGAACGCGGTCTTTGCTTTTGCTCCTGGTTTCATGGGAACTTGCCAATACCCTTTAGTGAGGTCAATTTTCGAGAAGTAGTGATCCTTAGCTACGGTGGAAAATATTTGCTCTTGGTTCGGAATCGGCTCGGCGTCAAATACAGTCACTTTATTTAACTTTCTAAAGTCAATACAAAATCGGTTAGTGCCGTCTGGTTTTTTGACTAGCACAATAGGCGATGCATATGGCGATTCGGATTTCTCTATCACGTCAATGCGGAGCATTGATTCAACTTCGTCATTTACAGTCTGAACGAGTGCATAAGGGATAGGATACGGCTTGCTACGAATCGGACATTCGGAGGTAACTTTAATATCATGATAGCCAAGATCCGTTTTACCGGGCAGATCAGTGAGGACGTCGCGATAACTACCGAGTACGGACTTTACTTCGGAGATCTGTTCCGCTAACAAATCTGTTCCTAGTTCAACGTCTTCTATGGTCTCTAATTGCTGTAGTGATGGTAAGACGATTGTATCTACATTATCGAATTTCGCGTCGTCTGCTTGTTCGTCATGTTCGATATCTTGCTCGCATTCTATTACTGATACAGTGGCACACTCGAAGATGTGTTGTGCAGTCGTGTCTGGCTCTGCGGTTACTACGGACGTGATTTCGGGTCGGACAATGTATTTCTTCAAAAGATTCGCATGAAAGACTTTTGCTTTCCCGAAGAGTTCTATGCGATAGTCAGCGATGCCTACTTTAGCTACGACTTTGAACGGACCCTTCCATTGAAGGAGTAGTTTATTTCGATCGGTTGGCAGGAGGAGTAGAACTAAGTCATTTGGTTTGAATGTGCGGGGCTTTGCTTTGCGATCATAGTACCGTTTGTTACGATCTAACGATTGACGTAGTGACTCTTGCGCGATCTTACATGTATCCTCAAGACGCTCTCGCAGATCTAAGACGTATTGATACGTGGTTCTGATTTCTTCATTGTTTTCTTCTGCTGTCCAGAGTTCGCGCAGTATTGTCATGGGTCCTCGTACGGTTCGGCCGTATAGTAACTCGAACGGGGCGAATCCCGTACTTTCCTGGGGAGTATCGCGATACGCGAAGAGAAGTGGGCCTATATATCTATCCCAATCGGTTGGTTTTTCTGCGCACAGACGTTTTAGCATAAGTTTTAGTGTCCCATTGAAGCGCTCTACGAGCCCATTACAGGCTGGGTGATACGGGGTGGTGGTAAGCTGTCTGATTGATAATAGCCTACTGATTTCGTGCATAAGACCGGATGTGAATTGTGCTCCTTGGTCAGTCAAAATTTCTCGGGGAATACCGACGCGAGAAAACATGTCTACTAGAGCTTCTGCTACGGTTGTGGTTTCAATGTTGCGAAGAGGAATTGCCTCTGGGTAGCGCGTAGCGTAGTCTACACACGTTAATATGTAACGATTTCGCTTCTCTGACATGGGATGAATTGGTCCAACAATATCTATGGCAACCCTTTGAAATGGCGTGTCAATCATGGGCATTTTGCCAAGTGGTACTTTGGTGACTCTACCCTTAGATACGGTTCGTTGGCAAATATCACAGGAGCGACAGTATCTTGTTACATCTGCGTGAAGTCCTGGCCAAAAAAAGGTACTCTGAATTCTGTTCAGGGTTTTTCGGGCTCCTTGGTGGCCCCCTAGTATGGTTTCATGGGCGACTTTCATTACATGTGAACGAAATTCATTTGGAACTACTAGTTGGCTAGTAAGTTGGTCAAATTCATGGCTTGGAGATTGAAACTCTCTATATAGTAGTCCATCCTTCCATACAAATTTTGAGCGAGAACCATATCTAGTTTGTCTATTTACTTGGTCTTTGGCTAGTTCTTTCAGATTATGTAGAGATGGATCAGTTTCTTGAGCCAGCTGGATCTGTTTTCTGTCAATTTCTGGCAATGCTTTTGGCACAGCTAGTTTCTTTACAGGCTTCTCATGAGTCAACTTCTGTGATCTAGTTTCTACTGCGTGCATTTGGGTAGGTTGCGTTTTGGAGGGGGATTCAAGACGTTTAGAGTTATCTGAACATTGATTCTGTGGGTTACACCAAGTTGGGTTTGGGTCATTGGGGTCTCTGGCGTTGTCAATGTTTCCGATTATGACGTCATACACGGGATTTGGCATGCATAAAGCGTCACACGAGCCGACAAAGTACGGCGTATTTAAGTTAATAACAGCGATTTCTGCTTTTCGAACCGTGCCGTCGACAAGAACACACGATCTTTCTTGACCGGTTAACTGCTTAGAAGTTACAAGGTCTCGTCGGACAACTACACTACTACAACCCGAGTCGCGGAGTACGGTAACGGTCTTTCCGTTGATGGCACCTTTTACTACGGGCATGCCTAGTGGATTTTTGTCGCGGCAAGCAGCGCTCATAATTGGCAATTCATGGCCGCACTTCAATTGAACGAACCCTTTTTTAGCGCAGCATTTGTCAAGTTTGCGAGGGGCTATCATACAGGCTATTGTTTCTGAGTTTGTCTCTTCGGATGGCTCACTTGGCTGTTCTCGCAATTTAGTGTGTGGCTGTTCGCTTGCTTCAGTATCTAACATGGCATTAGAAAGAGCAGATGCAATTATATTTGCGACTCTAGTGATGTTCGGTGTTTTGCTACGGCAGTTACGAGCAATATGGCCTATCTTGTGACATATGAAACAAGTGCGCAATTCGCGGAATCCGGTTCCTGTGTGCGGATTACTAGGTACATGTGACGTGCTTTGCGGTCCTATGCGCGGTGCGTGGTATGGTCTAGTCGACTGAGGGATCGATTCAGATCTACTTACAGCGTTTTGAACTTGAGCCGGTTTCTTTGTTCTTTCACGCGGACCAAAATGACCATGAGCTTCAGCATAGTGCTCGGCTAACTGGGACATTTCCTTGACAGTACGCGGCTTACGCTCATTTAAGAAGAGGCGCATCTCATCACTGCAACTATTTATGAACTGCTCGCGCACAATAAGGTCTGTGATACCGTGATACGTTTTCTCTGTCTTATCCATGTCAATCCAACGCACAAAAGTATTTGCAAGGCGGGCAACAAATTGGGTAGGTGTTTCGCCAGTCTCGGGTTTTGCTTCCCTAAATTTTTGTTTGAAGCCTATCGCGGTAAGATGGAAGCGTTTAAGGAGCGCGTCCTTAAGTAGATCGTAATCGTCTGCATCGTCGGGTGACAAACGTGAATAAACATCAAGTGCCTTACCCTTGAGTAGCGCGCTTAAGTTTACAGCCCAATCATCTGTGTCCCAATTTTGACTAGTAGCGTAGCGTTCATAACGCTGTATGTACGCGTCCATGTCATCTTTTAACTCATCAAAGTGTGGAAGTTTGGGTGCCCTAGCTTTTATACGCGTTGTCGTTGTGTCATGCGTGGTATTTGCTTGAGAGTCTGACCCGCCAGCTTGGCTTCTTAGTGTTTCAATGCGGAATTGCAATTCGATCATATCGCGGTCTTGGCGTCTAATTTCGAGTTGATACGCGCGTTCATCGCGGTCATGTTTCTCCTTTTCGCGGCGTTCTTCGCGAAGGAAATCTACGAGGTCTGAACCACTCAACGCACATGCCTCAGCTACAGCACGAATCTTTTCAGCATCAACATCCATTATCACACTGACCGACAACAACTTACCACGGGATACTCTGGTGTCAACAGGGAGGGATGTGGGACTACAGCAGGGGTACGTATAGCAACACTCAGCCTGTAGGCCTGCAGATATGCACACACAATATAAAACTACAACAAGCATGTTAAACAACAAACATTTAGTATGATTACAAACAGTTATAAGTACGTTCCAATTCAAAGATTCGTTTTGAATTTCCCGGACAAGCCCCCAGAAATGTCACCCTCAAATCTAACTAATAGTATTTGGTGACCCCGGACTATATCTCACACCAAAATAATCAAAACTTTGGAACTTCAGTTTACCAGAAACTTATTTACAATTTATTTACAAACGATCTTGATGTCGAGAATAAGGTCTTACAGTACTTCTTCACCCTATCTTGGGTTTTGACAATTCTTTAAATAGTATCCAATTGCTTTTGTACAATGATTTGCTTCCGTTAATTTCTTGATAAACACAATACAATAATTACCAATTAAAATCACTGACCAATATGTCTTCTTCTACTTCTTTTCGATTTGAATTACAATTTTGTATATTATTTCCCCAAACAGTTCTTATTTACGAAGGGGTTCAATGGAACTCCTTTGAGTTACTTGTAACTCGCCGTTCAGCGACCCGACGGTTGATCTGGTGCTCACTGCTACTGCTAGGCTCAATGGTCCTCTGTCAGTGGAAATCCCTCAGATCATGCAAAGCGGGTCAAGCAATAGTCTGGTCAAAGGGGTCGGCCATGGTTATTGTTGGTTGCATAAACTTGAGCGAGAGTCTGCGCCCATAGGTTGAATGTTGCTACAGTACACCGACAATTCTGACCTGACGACTGGGTAAATGATGGATTTTGGCACTGAATTTTGCCAAACTGGACGAAGGGTTCGATCCTAACTGAAATTTTTAGGAATCGACCACGGGCCTGTCTCATACCAGGCCGTACCCCTAGGTCTTAAGCTGTCGGTCGGTTCACTCTCACACTGTCAAGCTCACTCTATCACAGCTCAAACAACACTAACTGATTACTCCATCACACGGACACATACAGACAAGTACCTAACCAGGACAATAACAAAGGATGGACGAACACGACAATAACCATGGCCGGTTTTACGCAACATTACATAACACGAGCACTGCATTTCGCGAATGCGGGTCAGCACCGTATAAATTATAGTATTGTTCAACACCCTTTCGTGCGCGGGACTTGGGAGAGTGCTGATTGGCTACAAGTTATCTACATATGTACATGCGTAGAGGCGCGTAGCAGGATTGATCGTGACACCACCCTCCTGACCATCCCGGACTATTTCCTGAAGGAATTCCTTTCCAAGACCAAGGAAAAAGGTTTCTCGGAAGAGGAAGTAGACCAGCACCGTCAGAGATTACTGCCCTACAAGATGATGGACCTGTTTGCGGTCATCTGCATCCGGACAAGTCGCTACGTAGCGTTTGTCAAAGCCGGAAGGGAGAAGGATTCGGAATGGGTGTTTTTTGACAGTATGGCCGATCGGCAGGGTAAGCATGTGACAAAAAAAATTGGACTAGGAATCTGCCAAGCAGCAGCGGGATAGCTCAGTGGTTAGATTCAGGCATAATGATAATAATAATGCCGAAGATGTACCTTGGGGGACTTTCCATAGAGTTGTGCAGTAAAGTTTTCCAACTTTAATGACCTCTGACCCCAATTTTCCCTTATCCTACCCCCAAACATTTTGGTACATTTATGTGTTGGACCATGAGCAATCAATCTAGCGTATTTGTGACAATAAACATTTTCCTCTAAATAGGAGCTCAGGTATTAGGGCGGCATTGAATAGTCTCCATAATGCCCCTGCCTCCCAAAGGTATAACTTCTGATGCTAAGATGTCTCTCGAATGGTACTTTTTGCAAGTATAATAATGAAAACATTTATAATGTGCAGATTTGCATAAAAATGTTAAGATGCGTATAACAATTACTGCACTTGTAAGTAAGAGGTCATGGGCTGGAGTCACATCTGGGTATTCTTTTGAAATTTTCAGTACTTTTTGTCCAGTACTCAGATTCAGTACATCAGGGAAGTGTGAAACCATATTTTAGAATTTGGTTATTAAAGCACTTATTTTTTTTCAAAAAGAAATGTTCACAGAAATCATGAAAATTATTTCTAAATGTCCTCATAACCAATCACAATTTTAGCTTTAAAGGTAGAGAAGATCATTTGTCATTTGTGCATTTGTTTTGTTTAAAGCAACAAAAGGGCTCTAAGTCTAAAGACAAGTGCTTAACAACTAACCTGATGAAATTTTGTCTCTCTGAATGTTATATATTATAAGAAAACAATGTTCTAGGATCTCGATTTTAATTCAATAGTTGCCGATCGAGCCATATTTTGAATTGCGCCCAAACTCAACATCGGGAACACGTCCTCATTCAACCGATTGAGAACGTACGTGAATGATATCACGCACTAAACCGAAAAATGATAACAACAGCGTGCTTCGTGTCAGCGCTTGCACTCACCCATTAATTGATTTGCCCAATTACAAAACGAACTACCCACAGAAATTTCCAATCATTGAAAATGACCTTCTTTCATGTTTTCTTCAAAATGACAGCATGCCAGAAGGAATAATTTCACAGGGAGTTTATAGTGCCATTGCTATCTTTAAACCAAGTAAGCTTTTCAACAATAATTCGGTCAGTTACTTTGTGGATGGCTGCAAATGATCTACTCTACCTTTAAAGGGAATATACATCCTTTGCTTTTGCTGTAATTTTCAGAAATGGATGGAATTGGGGGGTTGGAAATATATAGCAAATATAGTTACACTGACTTTTTTGAGGTTTTGGGTTCGAAAATGCTATAAAAACAAGGAAAAACAATTATTTTCCTGTAGTCTGGTTCCTTGACTCCATATAAGAAGAAACAGAGCAGTTTACATACATTGGGGAATTGTAAGGTCAGGGAACCAGTCTAGCTGGCTCGTACCCGTTCATAGGTTTGTAATCGATTGCAAACAAGTGCGATGGTCAATTGGGGCCAGTATTTGAAAAAAAGCCATTTTTTCCAACGCTGATCGGCCGATCAGCGTTGGAAATTGATACAAAAATATCACTTTTCTTGAAAATGACAGTATACCAGGTGCCATGATTTTACAGGATGCTTTACACTGTCATTCACTAACAGTCCAGCAAGGTATTTCAAAATGATTTGGTAGTTTTATTTCTTGATGTTTGCAAATGTTGTATTTTCCCTTTAAAATATAGTATGAAATAGGGTTAGTCATAACATGTGTAGACATAGACACATATTATATTTATTAATTTTTTGTTTTTGTATTTTTTCTTGTTAAGGTGACCAGCAGGGTTATTACATCCCTCAGATCACACACCTCAAGGATTTTTGGAAATGGGTGGACGTGGGTCACATCAAGGCCCGCATCAAGGCCAAGCAACTGACTGAGATTATGGAGAGGTTACTTGGAGACGCATACATCTGCATGTACTCTGATAGCGAGCAATACCACCAGACTTAGGTATAACTGCCCCGTTGATTGGTCAATGAAGGGATAAAGACTGAAGTTGCTGCTACGTACTCAGCCAATCTAGGCCCAATTTCAAGGCTCTGCTTACTACAGAATTCCCTGCTTATGATCACTATTTCGCGCTAACAGCGCTAGCCGATTAATTCTGCGCTCACCCTGTAAGCACAAAATCCTTAGTTACGGGATGCACGCATGCGCAGAAGCCAAAATTCCTTGTTAACCCGTGAAATATGCTGACTGTAAGCATTGGATTTTCTGCTACAGTAAGCGGAGTTTTTCCCCAGCGGTAAGCAGAGCCAAGAAATCAAGCCAAGGTCAGATGTTACTGCAGTGTCTAAGGCCGGTGTAGCATGAATTTAGGTTTTATGAAATACGGACTCATTGGTGATATTGCGCATGCTCAATGCATAGATAATTAGGAGGGGGACCGGTCACGTGAGAGGGTTTAACCAATAAAAGGGAAAAGAGTCCGATTTTCATACGTGTCTGATTTTCATATGACACCGGGAAGCATTGCAAATAATTTGCTCCAGCTCAGATCGGCTCAAATTGCTGAAATTTGGTTTGGAGTTTAGCAAATGATTGGCGTAAAGGGCAAGTTTTTTTGAAGCTGTAATTCTCTACTAGTTGTTCAAATAATGGACACAGCTTAGCAACCTATCCAAGGACCTTTATGTAACTAAAGGGGAGCTGAAGGTGCTGCTACGTACTCAGCCAATCACCTCGGTCGTTACTGCCGTTAACGACTGGATCGTCTTCCCCAAAATCTGGGTAGGGCATAAGTTAAAAAGGGGGTGGGTGGGTTGACATAATACCCAATCCCCACATTCCCCCTCCTAGTTACACCACTGTATTGCGGGAGTGCTGCACAGGAAGTTTGTTGTGACACTGCGTGGCATATTTGCAACCAGTGAAGCATACATCTCATAGGCCCAGTCACACACACCATTTTCTCTATGTAACACAATATTACCCCTGTTCAGCAGGCCACACAAAAAAGTTGTTTCAACAATTTGGAAATGTACATTTATAGCGGTTCCACTCCCATTGATCTGAAACACTTTTTTTCTTAACCGACTTAAGAATTGAATTAACGAATCAAGTAATCCACTTTTACATTATAGTTTGAAATACTTGTAATACTGAAATACTTGATATTATATGTACTCATTACATTTCTTTACTTGTAAGTTACACAGATTGCCTTGAAAAGAAAATCGAAGAGTGCCAACTTAGGGCTGGATACTTTTGTTGATAGCAGTTGCAGTATCCTACAAAATTAGTTTGGAAAATCGTTCAATCACTACTGTAAACTGTTTCCTAAAAAACTGCATGAAATTTATCTAACTTTTTGTATCTTGTCATTAAATGACATTTTAAAAATTGTATAATTATATGAAAATGTATAATTAACCCTCTTGCTGTCACAGACAGGCAAAACAAAATTAAACCTTTCTAATGCATACTTATATCAACTTCAAAAGTCTGGGTTATTGCATCAACTGTCTTCCGTTCTCGAGTCTTTTCCTTTATCACCACCAGCCTTTCTATCCCTAACAACTCTCTCCCCCTCCTTCACTTCACACAGCAGACACAACTGCAGAACTGTGTAGCAACCAAATTACAAAAAAAAAATCAATATTTTTTTAAAGGTGCTATGAAACCATCAGCTCAATCCTTAAACCTCATTTGCTTTTCATGCATTTTGTTCTTTTCCAATAATAGCACCACTCAAAATCCAAAGAAGAATGTTCAAAACCTAACCTTTAGAAGTTTTGTATGGTTGAAGAGTTGTACTTCACTGTGTTATAAAAAAAGCAGTTCAAATTTAATTTTAAGTATTAATAAAGTAGTTTAAAATTCCTGTCAAAAGTGGGTTTTCTTCTTTTTGCACCTCCCTAGCTGTAAAATAAGGCGCGGTGTCTAAAACAGGCATCAAGAGCTACGGCCAAGTCTATTGTCAGCATTTGTCCGTGTACTTATTGCCAGAGCCCTAGACGATAGCTCTAGATAAATCAAATTAAGGTTTGCCCTTCACCGACGTTTAGACACTGTATACTGTGTTACCTCCCGAGTGAAAGTTGGAGAAATCATTCGGGTGAGACTCGAACCCACGACCTCCTGCTTTCTAGTGCACCAGATGTCTTATTCATTCATTCATTCATTATACAAACATTTATTTCAATATTGCTGACACAAAATGCACAATGAATCTATTCAAAAAAATAACATTAAACTGAGGAGCAAACTGGGAGAAGAGAGGGTTCAGATTGTAATGGCTCGCTTTTGGATGGTAATAAGAGAATACAGCTAGTTGACTATTACTAGAGCGCGCCCAGACAATGTGAGTAGTTGAGATAAGGAAAAATGAGAGCATTGTAGATGGAGAGTAAGAGGCGGGAAGAAACGATCGAAGTTTGGAGAGAACACCAGTGTGCCTAGAAGTGATTTTAGTAATAGAAGAGATATGGTCATTCCACGTTAATTTATCATTGATAAGAACTCCAAGAAATTTAGTTGAATGTACCTGCGAAAGAGGTTCGCCGTCAATGCAAACAGGAAGAGGAAGAATAGGGTGAGTATTGGATTTACTGAAGAGCATGAATTTGGTTTTACCTGGATTAAGAGAAAGTTTGTTTGATTTGAACCAAGAAGAAACATTGATTAGCAACTGTAACATTTGGACTGTCAACAATTATTCAATGTTTTCAAAGCAGAACAAAGGCCAATACCAGTATATCGCGAAAGTGACAAATAACATCTCTGGAAGTGAAAGCCCAGTTTCAAACTAATCCCGTTTGCTCAAAATCCGAAGGTATGCGCATCACACTGTCCACTGCCGTTGTCACATGAAAATCCGACTCCTATGAAAATCGGACCCCTATTTCCCTATTAGTGGTTGATCCCTCGCACGTGACAGGTCACTCTCCGGAAACGATCCTTAAAATAGCATAGTATCGTACTCACGCGTGCGCAGTACTACCAATGAGTCCACATTTCATGGAGTCGGATATTCACGCTACACCGTACGCGCGCACATGTGTTGCTGTTTTGTGAGAGGCATGCGAAATGAATGGGATCTGTTCTGCTCTTCTGCACTGCACCTGTGCTACCAACAGATTACGATTACAATTGAATGGCTGTCATGCTGAAGCCCGCCATTTTTTAAAGGTTGTCTCGCCGTATTGTCGCCATGTTCATAATGTCATGAAACTGGAGCTGTTGTTATGGTTGTATTTCTGCTGACCTGTGAGGTGGTTTTGTCTGCCATCAACCCAATGTTATAAAAACCTGAAAAACTGCAAGACGTCCATGGTCTGGCGGGTCGTGAGTATTTAGCTGGGAAAGAATCGCATACCAAGGTTGCGATCATGGCGATGTGCATTCACAAAGCCCGGTGTTCGCAATCGCATGCAAAGCATTACCAATCCTGTCGCGTAAACCGGGCGATCGTGTAGTGTAGGGCCCATGTTTGTTTGTTGTTCTATCAAACTAGAATCAAGATTTTTTTTATTACTAAAAACTGACATTGTTTATGTCAGCCTAAAGCAGACTTCTCTCAATGCAATGACACCATTTTGACATTTTTAAAAAGTTTCTTGGGGTAGAATTTACGATTTTCCTACCAAGTTTACGGTCCGGTTGGTGCTGTGAAACGCGACTGGCGCATTCACGGTATGTCACGCGGTGATCGCCATCGAAAATTCAAAACCCTGCCCTCTACATGTATATTTTCAATGTCGCCAACTAGTTTGATAGGTCAAAAATTTTAAGTGGGTTTTGTTTCCTTAGGAACTGGGCCCATAAATACGCAATCGCCATTTACCGTAGATCTGAGATTTCCAAACTTAAGGCTAGGTGTTTAAACATTTCGGATGTTGAGCAAGTTGAGGAAGTGACAAGCAAGTGGTTACTCACGTACATCACAATAAGTGCATTTTATTCATGTTGAATCTCTAACATATTTAATTGGCCTGTTCGAAGATCAATCTAATAATTGAACAATTATTATACCAAAAAATAAGGCTGATGGCTTTCAGGGACCTCATTCAATACTTGCAACGTATTTCTCTCTGTAATGTTAGTCTCTATAAGAAGGGTGAAATAAGTTTCTAAAGGAAATTTTTTTTTTTTTTTTTTTTTTAAAGGGCTAAAAAAATATTGATTTTGTTTATTTAAAATCTCTACTGTTGGGGAATACAGTTTACTTGAAAAAAATCCTTGGTTTGAACTCTTATCCACTACCATGAAAACAACCCATGTTAATTTTATGGAAGAGAAAAAAATCTTAGTCTCTCAATTGAGGAAAACCTGATTTTGTTTAAGACTTTGATTTTTTGTAAGGCTGTCCCATTATCCTAAAATAAAAAAGAACCATTACTAAGCTATAATTCTGGATTATTTGATTCGCTTCATGTTTTTACATTGACAAATAAGAAGAGTTGCAGGCCAACTCGGAACCTGTTATCTTTTAAAATAATGAATATTTCCTTGGCCGTCTGAAGTATTTTTCAGTTGTGGCCATATATTTAATAAGAACTTGAATGGAGTGTACATGCAGGAACAAATTCAGGATAAACATTTCCAGGATTCTGGATAAAAATAAACCCACAAATGATTTTAGTGTAAGGTTGATGCAATGGCCAGTTGTACTGTTACATGTTAATTTTATTACTTTTAATTTTTACTCCTTTTTTGGTCTTGTTTTTTTTTTTCGTGCTTTTATATATGATCAACTTGGATGGGGTTTGTTAGTTTTAGTGATTTTTTTTTAATCTACATGTATTTCTTAAGTAATTGTCCTTAAGATTAGTTGTTTTTAATAACTTACCGTTGTTCTTTTTTTGTCTTGTCTTTGTTTACATTTTGTGAGGGCCCCAAATGGTCAGCTTCTGCTGGATGGGTTACCCCAAAGATGGTTTGAAATAAACAATTAATGAAGTTCACTATAGGGTGTCAATGGGTACATTGAATTATTGAAAGTAAGCTGAAACAAGAAGCAGAGGGTGAAAATAAACAAAAATCCTCTGACAAAAGATACTATCATAAATGTAATTTAGCCAGTTAAACTTTGCACATCAATTTCAATAAATATATAAACTCAATAAATACCGGTATATAAAATCTGATATTGAAAAAGTAATTTCACGGGCTGAGTGTCAACATTAAACTGAAATCCACAGGCAAAAGGGGAACTATGTATTGGTGGAGTGAGGAAATTATGGATGTGACCAAATTTACACTTTTGAACATTGAAAATGATGAAAAATTCTAAATCTATCTGCACATTTTCCAAAACAGCACTTGATTACATTCAGGCTACAAATTTATCTTTTTAATGATTTCAATGACTGCCCTCTTTTTATTATGTT